TCAACACAGTACATAAAATCCGTGATCTGGTCCCGTCTGTAAAAGATGTGGTTCCAGACAAACAGTACCCTAGCGTCTACAAACTAAGTTTCCTCTTTGGTAGCAGTTACATTGGAGAAACCAAACGACATGTCTCGGACCGCATCCATGAACATAAAGCAGACCTGAAACACGGTAGGACAAACACCTCAGCCGTGGCAGATCACTGTTACAATTCAGTGGGCTCACATGACATTGACTTCTCCAAGACAGAGGTTGTCTGCAAGCCAACTGGCTATCATGAGACATTCGTTCATGAGGCTATCCACATATACAAACACAGAGACAATTTCAACCGAGAAGATGGATTCTGGCTTAGCAATCATTGGAAGGACGTAACAAACCATTTCGGATCTTAACTGATTGTGTTCACATTTACGGTGACTTTCAGACCGCGTTCCACTCACTGGCATTGTATTCTCCGCAGGGAATGGATTCTTTGCTCCGCTGCAAGATTTCCCCCCCACTATTCACCCATTGACAAGACGGTCAATGGTACAGTGTATAATAACTAATAGTATAACATTTATATGCTTAATACAATGTACAAAGTAATATATAGTATCGTAATTTTATAGTAAATATATAGCTTTGTGATACACTTTAAGGTGGTTAGAATAATACATAGTGTTACATTAAAACGACGTAAAATTGTAATGTATTACTTACTGTTAGTACTCAGCTTATTGTAGAGTATAGTAAGTATAATAATGATGCTATGTAGTTTATACTTTAGTTGTTCATGTAGTTTATACTTTAGTTTTTTTTTTACGTTGTTGTTTAACTGCAGCTACATACTATTAACATTCCTTTCCTTTGTTAATGCTACCCCCCTTCCCCCTCCCTTTGATGCTGCTAATCCTGCATAATGCACGGGCATATATTAACTTGAAACCCCTCCGTCCACTTCCTATGCATTTTTCATATGCTAAATTCCTCTTGATATGCAAATTATGTTGTTAATGGCGCTCTTCTTCCCACCTCCCCCCCTCCAACCCAGCTTATATATACGCTCCTAGCTTGGTGGTGTTTCATTCTACACCTGAGGACGGCTGCTTGCGTTTGGGCCGAAACGTCGTGAGAATTATATTATTTTGTTATGTTTTGTTTTATTATTTTATTACTTCCTTCTACGTGACTTTACCGAAATAACCAAGAAGATTATTCCCTGCAGTCACGAAAAGCTTTAAATCGAAATTTAAACCGCCTCTACGGGGGAGGATTTCCACATAACTTTGAGATCCTTCAACAAGCTCCGGGATAGGAAGGCTCAGCTAATCGAGTCTCTCACCTTTCTGAAGAGATGCCGCGACTCTAAGGTATTACGAAACGCATTACACTAACATCTGCTGCTGTAACTTTCTAATGCTAAACGAATTCTGCCTAGAACTAGCTTAGCTCTTATCTCAGCGAAAATCAGACTTACGCGCACCGATCTAGATCAGTTAGACAAGACACTCTACAAATCACACTTATCTTTGAGTGCAACAATGTCCGCATCGGATTGGGAACATGTAGAAAAAATGACTGCCTCGTCAGCTGCCGCTATGTCGACCAAATGTAAGGACAACTTGATTTCCAAATTCAACCGCCTCTCAAACAAGGAACCGGACCCACACATTAACAAGCTAGATGTTAACAAAGTCGTAATTAATCGCAGTAACAGTCTATTCTGAAGGTCTGAAATCCGTTTTAGCTAAAGGACTAAACTTTGCAGTCACACCTAGACACATACCAGTTAATGATATAATTGCTAGAGTAGATGTAGCTTCAAGGGCCTGAGTCCATCGCTGCAGACGTAGCAAGATCTGAAATCTCTGCAACTCTCAAAAATGCTAAGATGCCAGCTAGCAACATCAGCAAAGATGAGCGTTTTGAATTAGCTCAATAAAAAAGAGGGATGACATTGTCATCCTCTCAGCCGACAAAGGCAATGCCACTGTCATCATGGACAAAACAGAATACAACTATAAAATCCAAGAACTACTCAACAATGGCAGCTATACAAAAATAAAAAGAGACCCCACCAACAGCCTCGTCTCTAAAACCAAACAAATCATTTCTGATTCAACCGCATTAATTGATCAGACCAAACAGTTCTCGTTGAAACATTCTGCAGCCAGGCCACCAAGATTATACGGCTTGCCAAAGATACATAAGAAGATACACCTCTTCGTCCCATTGTCTCTACTATCAACTCCCCCACCTATAAACTGGCTCGTTTTTTGTCTGAAATCCTACGGCCTCTCACTGGAAAAACCACCTCTGCGGTACTAAACTCTACTGACCTGGTATCGACAATCAAGGGGATTGCCCTGTCCCCAGACGACCTGCTTGTCAGTTTTGATGTGGTTTCCTTATTCACCAAAGTTCCTGTACCTGACACCATCGCGATCATTGAAGACTTGGTTCATCAAGGACTGAATGCTGGGGTACCCCCCCTGGTGAGACACTGCTTAACCAATACATACTTCACCTGGAATGGAACTTTCTACAAGCAAACTGAGGGCACCCCAATGGGCTCCCCCTATCTCCGGTTGTAGCCAACATCTTCATGGAGAAATTTGAGACTGACGCCATCCAGACTGCCACTCTACGCCCGACCTTATGAAGATGTACGTAGATGACACTTTTGTCATCTGGCCACATGGCCGGACCTGCTCTAAACCAATTTCTCGACCACATCAATTCCATACACCCAGCCATCAGATTCACCACTGGAAGTCGAAAAAGATGGCAAGCTACCCTTTTTGGATGTCCTAATTAAAAGGAGACCTGATGGTTCAATGAGCCACTCTGTCTACAGGAAAGCCACCCATACTGGATGCTTACCTAAAACCGGATTTCCACCACAATCCATCCCCAGAAGAATTCCCTCATCAAGACTCTATACCATAGAGCCCAATGCATTTCCGACCCGGATCACATTGCCAGTGAACTCAAACACGTACGCCAAGCTCTTAAGGCTAATGGTTACTCCGACTACACAATCCGCAAGGCCATCACTCCAACCATCAAGAAGAATCCTGTTGAGGAGCCTTTCAAGACAATCACCTTACCCTACATTGCTGGGGTCACAAATAAAATCTCCAAAATCCTGATTAAACACAAGATCCAGGTCCGATTCAACACAGTACATAAAATCCATGATCTGGTCCCGTCTGTAAAAGATGTGGTTCCAGACATACAGTACCCTAGCGTCTACAAACTAAGTTGCCTCTTTGTTAGCAGTTACATTGGAGAAACCAAACGACATGTCTCGGACCGCATCCATGAACATAAAGCAGACCTGAAACACGGTAGGACAAACCCCTCAGCCGTGGCAGATCACTGTTACAATTCAGTGGGCTCACATGACATTGACTTCTCCAAGACAGAGGTTGTCTGCAAGCCAACTGGCTATCATGAGACATTCGTTCATGAGGCTATCCACATATACAAACACAGAGACAATTTCAACCGAGAAGATGGATTCTGGCTTAGCAATCATTGGAAGGACGTAATAAACCATTTAGGATCTTAACTGATTGTGTTCACATTTACGGTGACTTTCAGACCGCGTTCCACTCACTGGCATTGTATTCTCCGAAGGGAATGGATTCTTTGCTCCGCTGCAAGTTTTCTCCCCCAATATTCACCCATTGACATGACGGTCAATGGTACAGTGTATAATAACAAATAGTATAACATTTATATGCTTAATAGCTCAACGAAGTGGCTCATTGTCACGTGGAGATTTATAGCAGCCAAACACTCTGAACGCGTTGATGTTGATTCTAAATGTGGAGGGAAACACCAAAGAACACGAAGAAGAATCCACACGACCAGAGAGAACACGCAAACTCCAAATATACAGCAGACATCAGGGTTGATTTCGAACCCATGCCCCAATTTAAGAGTTTTACTCTTACGAGGTCACCCTGAGTGAAGTTGCTGCACACAGAAAACAAGACGAGGCGGTGATGGGAGCGACTTGAGAGCCCTGCGTCGTTTAGACGATTAGTGCCACGAAGAAAAACTGCCCACGGCGATGGATAACAATCGTCTGTAGTTGGCCTCATGCGGCTGTGTGCCTTGTGAAGTGAAGCCACAGGCCACAGATGGGTCCTACCTCTGGTTCAAAAGGTATTCCTACCCTCTGGTCAGTTTTGAACGAGCAGCTGGATTTAATCACTCACTCTGAATGGAATTACACTGTCCTGTGCGATAGACTTGTCCCCGCCATAGGAAGGTGGAATTCCCACCGCTGGCTCAGGGTTGTAAGCGGGAGATGAGCGCACATGCCTCAACGCTCTTTCTGAGCAGGAAAATCACTTTTGAGTCGTTGTGACGAATGTGAATGCAATAGCGAGTGTCTGTTGACAACCAACTAAACTCCCTTCTCTATGCTTGCAAATTGTGCACCGCTCTAATGGAATATCTGTGCTGGTTTGAAACATGCAGGCTGGCCTGCTTACAATCTATGTTGGGTTTAACCAGGCTGGATTGTGTGAGGAGCTCACAGATCCTTGAAAGATCCGGACACAGTCCCGTCGCTGAGCTCCTCCGGCAGGCAAGGCTCCATTGGCTGGGTCATGTAGCCCGCATGCCCAGCCACCTCGTACCCAAATCCATGCGACCACAGGGAAAGCGACACCGCAAACTGCAAATATACAGGCATTGTCGGGGTCAGGATCGAACCCACGACCTCCTGTACACCAGGTGAGGTAGTTAACATCTCACCACGGAGAGAGAGAGAGAGACAAGCAAACCCCAAATATACAACAGCAGGCATCAGGGTCGGAATCGAACCAACGACCTGCTGTATACCAGGCGAGGTGGTCAACATCTCACCACGGAGAGAGAGAGAGACACGCAAACCCCAAATATACAGCAACAGTCGTCAGGGTCGGGATCGAACCCACGACCTCCCCCCACTCCTCCAACCCACCCCCACGCCGCCGCCTCACCCTTCCGCTCACCTGCAGTGGGATCCAGCGGGGCGAAGTGCAGCGTGTAGCGCAGCACGTGGTGGTTGTTCCACACGTAGAGGGCGCCGTCGTGCGGGTTGTACTGCACCGACGTGATGAACTGGAACGGGTTGGGGAACGGGATGGAGACGCGTGCATCCCGTCGCGAGTTGGTGTCGTACACGTAATCGATGCGGTCGCTCGTCCCCCCCCCCACCCCTCCTCCTCCTGCGGTGCCGTTCGCCGCTCCGTCGCCGTCATCCTCGTAAGTGGAGCGCAGGACGTAGAGGACGCCGCACGCCATGAAGGCGTCGGAGGCCGAGCGCTTGTCGTAGGCCGTCTCAAAAGAGGCCTCGACGCGCAGCGTGTACGGGTTGAAGCGGCTCACTACCACGCGCCCCTCGTTCTGCTCCGTGGCGTAGATGACCCACAGGCCGTTCTCGTCGGCCGCCAGGTCGATGTCGGACTTGCCGCCCCAGCGGTAGGGCGACGTGTCGTAGTAGTTGGCGTTGGGGACGACCGCCTCGCCGCTCTTGACACGCGTGCCCAGGTCGAACTTGACGATTCTGCGCGTTCGCTCCTGCGAGGGGGAGGTCAGGTGAGCGTGTGTGTGTGTGTCGGAGAGGTGGGTGAGTGTGTGAGGGAGAGGGAGGGAGAGGCGGTGGGGAGAGGAAAGGTGAGAGTGAGAGAGGAGAGTGGGAGTGTGTGCGTGTATGAGTGGGTGAAGGTGTGAGTGTGAAACATCCGGGCGTGGTGGTGTTGGCCACAGCACCCCCTCGTACGCTGCGCCGGCCATCATAGGTGCTGCTCAATGGCCCGCGATCACAAATCACTATTTAACTCGATCAAAAAGTAACCTGCAGCGCCACACCTATTACCATCGTTAGGGGAAAGAACGATGATCCAATCTCAGACCCCCAGGAACAGGTTTGCAGATTTGCTGAGCATTTCTGAGGTCATGGAGGAGGGGAAATCCCTCAGCCTGGAAAACATCATGGGACAAAGTGCGGATGACCTTGCTGAGGCAACGGTGCCTCAAATATTGGAGGAGGAATTCACCCCCTGTGAGTGGCTGGCTGAGGTGCCATCCGTTGAGGAAGTACTGAAGGCGATCCAGAGTCTGAGACCAGGAAAGGCACAGATCATCTCCCAAGCGAAATGCTTAGGGAGGGTGGCGTTTGTGCACAGACTACCCTATATGACATCATAACAACAGTCGGGACCACTGGACGGATTCCGCAGGATTGGAAGGATGCCCTGGTGGTCCCCCTCTTTAAGAAGGGGGACCGCACAGACTGTAACAACTACAGGGGCATCTCACTCCTCAGTGTGCCGGGAAAGGTCTTGGCAAGGATTATTCAACATCGCCTTGCTAGGCACGCTGAGGAGAGGCTTGCGGAGCCCCAATGTGGTTTCATGAAAGGGCGGTCCTACACAGATGCCATATTTTTTGTCCGTCTACTACAGCAGAAGTGTAGGGAATTCCAACAAGACCTACATCTCTGCTTCATTGACCTGGTCAAGGCCTATGATGCCATCAGTAGGCCTGGGCTCTGGGTTGTTCTTCGTGCTTTCGGAGTGCCTGACCCTCTGCTCACGCTCATTAAGGACCTTCATGATGGTGAGCTGGCCCGGGTAAAACTACGTGGCCAGGAGTCAGAGCCATTCCCTGTACACCTTGGGGTGCGACAGGGATGTCCTCTGGCTCCAACATGATTTAACATCTATTTCGACCACGTAGTTCGTGAAGCCTTCACTAGCTGTACCGGAGGAATTTCCATCTGGTACAGATACAATGGGAGGCTGATCGATGCCCGGGTGCGGTCAAGGTATAGACCCCTATTGGTCAACCATGTTATGTATGCCGATGCTCTGGTGATTGCTGCTCACTCAGAGGTGGAGTTGGAGGCACTGCTGCTGAACCTGGAACTTGCCACTAAAAGGTGGGACCTTACCATCAGCCCCACCAAAACCAAGCACCTGCCTGGGTATTTTGTACCATCGGACAATCCACTCCCATAACTCACAATCGGTGATGCGGCAGTTGTGTAGAGAGTGGAGAGTTTCCCATACCTGGCCAGTGTGCTCATGACCGGCTCCAGCTTAACAGCAGAGGTCTCACTCCAAATCAGTCGAGCGTCATTATCTTTTCATCGGCTGCATTACGCTGTGTGGAAGCTACCTGGTCTCTCGCTCCGCATGAAGCTTCAGGTCTTCTCGGCCACGGTAATTTCCTCCCTTCTCTACGCTTGCGAAACGTGCACCCCCCTAATGGAACATCTTCGCCGGTTAAAAACATTTAGGCTCCCTATTGGTCAACCACGTTATGTATGCCGACGACCTGGCAATTGCAGCTCACCACACAAAATGAGAGCTCAACCAAGTGGCTTATCACGTGGCGACGTAACAGCAGCCAAACGCTCTAAATGCGCGTGGATTCTAAATCAAGTGGCCAACATCTCTCCGCCGCGCCGGGCACCGACCTTGTTAAAGAACACGGCTCCGTCGTACACCACGAAGCCCGTGCCGTCCACTCGGTGCGGCAGCTGGTAGTTGGTGAGCGGCAGCCTGGCCGCGATGTCCTGGAGGGAGGCGTATTCCACGAGCCTCTTGGTGCGGTAGGGCATCCACGGCATGAAGTACACCTTGCCGTCGGCACGCAGCGGGTCGCGGCACCACGAGCCGGCCTTCTGCTTCGCCTGCAGGAGGTGCAAGGCCTCGCCAACAAGGCGGATGCTGCCCGGGCAGGGGAAGACTGCCACGGGGAACGGGGGACAGACGAACGAACGGATGGACGGACAGTCGGGTCAAGCATCATTCGCGGCTGCTCCCTAGTCGATATACTATAAAAGGCCAACTGAGCTATGTAACTCTTTTGCAGAAGCAACCTCGCCGCACACAATGGCAGCTCAATGAAAGTGACTTATCACGTGGAAATGTACAGCGGTGTCCGAGTACTCGAAACACGCGACGTCGATTCTAAACGCGGAGGGAAAAACTGGAGGACCCGGAGAGCACTCCACACGACCGCGGGGGGAGAACATGCAAGCTTCCAAGTGTAATAAAAGACTCGGACGCTTCTCTCTGTCCTGTGTCCTTTATTTGGGTTCGATCTCTTTTCCCTCACGGCACTCCCCCTTACTCTTCGCTCTGCAGCCCCAGGCTGCTACCGCTCACGTAGCCCACTTCACAGCACTCCCCTATATACTCTTCGCTCGGCAGCCCCCAGGCTGCTGTCGCTCACGTAGCCCACTCCCTCCTTGCAGACCCGCTGCTGTCTCGTCGTGCAGACCCCCCCCCCCGCTGCTCAACTCCACCCTTGCAGACCCGCTGCTCTCTCTGCAGCCTGCTCGCTGCTCCTCCAGCCCCGGGGTCGGTCACCGCTGGCCGACGGTGCTGATCCTCGAGGTCTGTGTGTGTGGCGATCTCGCCACACTCTCTCTTCCCCACTCCACCCTGCGTGGCCTTACACTTTCCCCAGTCTCCGATCACTCCCTACTGCTTCCGGTTTCTCCCCTTATAACCCTGAACCCTGTCCCCCACGTGACGTAACTCCTCCCCCCATGATGTCACTTCCGGAAGGTCGTTTACGCCCGCATTACACCACCCTCCCCCGTAGAGAAAATCCAGCCGACCTCGGCTGAACACAACTCCAACAATAATGCGAGCGAACACGACCGTATACAAAAAAACAAAAAGGACACAGAACACACAATATTATATCGAAGAACAAGAACACAACACAATATTTAACGAAATGTGAGGGATTTTGAGCGGGTGCGGGTCGCCGGACCGTCCCGGACGGTCGGCGGCCCTCCCGCCGAACGAGAACGTGGCAGGGTCTTAAGAGCGACAGGTTGAAGTACGTCTGTCGTTATTGGAAGCCTGGCAACGTCCCGGTCCCCCAATCTTGCCGGCGCAGCATCAGGGGCGTCCCGAAATCGCGTCCGCGGCGGGGTTGGAAGGGCTGCGGGCCTCAAAGGTTCCGCAGCCGTGTTAGGCGCACCCCGAGCTGAGTCGTCTTTCCCCTGCCACGTTACGGCCGGCTCGTCTGTAAAAGGCACAACAGGCGCTCTTGCAAGGTCAGCAGGCACAGGCAAAGGCGCGTCGGCAGCAACAGACCCCGGCAAGGCAATCTCAGGAGATGACGCATCAGGTCGAGGGGCCACGTATGGTTTCAACCGAGATGTGTGGACGAACCAACGCCGAGATCCAAACCGAACACGCGCCGACTGTGGGTTGGGAACCTCAATGAGGCGAACCGGGCCCTGCCATGGTTTGTGTAACTTAGGAGAGGTACCTGGCCGCACCTATGGACAATGAAGCCAGGCCAGGTCCCCCGGTTTCCAGGGGCATTCCCCTTTTGAACGGCGCGCACACCTCTCATTCCGAGCCTGGGCTTTGGCCGTAGCCACGCGGGCCCCTTCCCGCGCCACAGTGACTCGGCGAACGGTGTCCTGAATATAGTCAGGCAGAGGCTTGGCAGGTCCCCTCATTCCGGTTCCCAACTGTTCATTAATCGCCGGTACGTTTTCACGACCGTACATAAGAAAAAACGGCGAATATCCTGTAGCCGCGTGCGGCGTCATTCGGTACGCAGAAAGCACCCCAGGGATATGCAAATCCCAATCCGATTGTTTTTCACTAACCGTATGGCACAACATGGTGGACAGAGTCCTATTTAGCCGTTCCACCATACCATCCGTTTGCGGGTGGTAGGGAGATGTCCGAATTTTCTTTGTTCCAAGAGCCGCACACACCTCCCCCAACAATTTAGACGAAAAATTCCGGCCTTGGTCCGTAAGGAGTCTCTCCGGCGCCCCCTTGTCCATAACATACCCAAAAAGAAAGGCGTCTGTGATAGACGCCGCTGACTGGTCAGGCAAGGGCCAGGCCATCGGCCAGCGGGAGAGGTACTCCACCCCTACCAGCAAATATTTATTTCCCCTAGCGGATGGCGGAAAGGGTCCCAAAATATCTAACGCCACCAACTCATTAACTCGAGACACTTGAATAGATTGTATAGGCGGCACATATGGATGTTTAGGTGGCTTACGGCGGGCACAATCGGGACACGCACGAACGTGTCCGACGACATCCGTCGTCATGCCGTGCCAATAGTAATCTCGCTGCAGCGTCAATAGGGTCTTCTGCACTCCCAGATGTAAAAGCGTGTCACAATGCAGAGTTCTAATCAATTCGTACCGCAATGATGCCGGTACAACAAGACGCCAGCGTTCCTGTATCCCTTCCCTCCACATCAGCAAGCCATCACGGAGAGCAGTTTCCGGCACACCCCCCTCTCCCTTCACTGGCCGCTTACGTAATGTCACCAAAGAATCATCCAACATTTGTTCGCGGATCCACACGGACCTCGGAAGATGTAAAATGCCATCAGCCGGTCCCCCATCAGCCGGCCCCGGCTCAAGCGGAGCTTCAGGCACCTCGACTGCCAACGCGACAGGCTGAGGGGGGTGCTGAATCGGGCCACACCTATGCGTCCCCGACGCACACGCGCAAGGGGATCGCTGCGGCAGCCTGGAAAGTGCGTCCGCATTAGCGTGACGCACTCCCTTCCGATGGTGAATTTGGAAGGAAAATTCCTGCAGCGTGTCCAACCACCGCGCCAGCTGGCCGGATGGTTGGTCCATTTTAAGCGCATACTGCAAGGCCGCGTGATCCGTGCGAACAATAAACGAACGACCGTACAAGTACGGTCGAAATTGGCGGAGAAAAAAAACAATAGCCAAAAGTTCCCTGCGTGTGACGCAATAGCGGGTCTCAGCTGGAGACAAAACCCGGCTACCATACGCCACCACGCGTTCCACACCACCCTTGGACTGAGACAACACCGCCCCAATACCCGTGTCACTCGCGTCCGTATCCAGAATAAAGGGATGTTCAAAATCCGGATAGTCCAACGTCGGCGCCGTAGCCAATAGATCGCGTAGGCTTCGAAACGCCGCCTCCTCTGGCGGTCCCCAAGCAAATTTATGTCCTTTTCCCGTAAGGAGATGCAAGGGCCTCGCGATCGTAGAAAAGTTTGGAACAAACCTCCGATAGTATGAGGCGAACCCCAAAAACCGACGCACATCCCCCACCGTGGCAGGGGTTGGCCAGTCACGGACGCATGCAGTCTTGTCCGGATCCGTGGCCACCCCATCCACACTGACGATGTGCCCCAGGTAACGCACGGAGTGTTGCAGTAGGTGACATTTCTTAGGCTTAAATTTCAAATTAGCAGAGCGCATCCTGGTGAACACAGCCTCCAACCGCGATAAATGCTCGTCAAATGTGCGGCTGAAGACGATAACATCGTCTAGATATATAAGACACGTCTCCCACTGCAACCCCGTTAATACCAACTCCATTAACCTCTGAAAAGTGGCAGGGGCCGCATTCAGCCCCATCGGAAGGCAGTTAAATTGGAATAACCCCTGCGGCGTACGGAAAGCTGTTTTTTCTCGCGAGGACTCATCAAGGGGAAGCTGCCAGAAGCCCGAAGAGAGATCTAGCGTCGAGAAAAACTTCGCCCCCGACAAGGCATCGAGAGAGTCGTCCATATGCGGCAGGAGATATGCATCTGCTACCGACACTTTATTTAATTTACTAAAATCAACACAAAATCTCAATTTGCCATCTTTCTTTTTGACCAAAACAACAGGCGCGCCCCATGGGCTGTTAGGCGGAGATATTATGTCCGCAGCCAACATGTCATCCACTGCCCCTCGAACATGCTCGCGTTCCGCCGGACTCATCCGGTGCAAGTTTAACCGAATAGGGGCAGCGTCCCCTGTGTCAATATGATGGTAAAGCAACGAGGTGCGTCCCAAGTCCAAATCGTCAGAGCTAAACACGTCAGAATAGCTGAATAATAATTTACGAATCGCACAACGTTGTTCCCCGGAAAGAACCGAATTTTCCGCACACAATTCAGCGATCCAGCGATCATCTGCAGCTCCGGCCCCCGAAACACCTCCAACAACTCCCCGGCTGGACAAATTATCATGAGCTGTAAACGCAGTAGTGGCATGTGCCACAACAGTACCCGCCGGCACACACACGCTTTCGGTACTCGCGTTAAGCACTTGCAAAAACGGCTGTTGGTCTGGCCGGACAATAGTTTGTGCCCCAACCAGTGCCGATCCACCCGTAATAGCGGCGGACGGCGACAACAAAACACCAATCGCTCCTTGACGACCAGGTACAGGCTTCCGATAACGCAAGGGAATGAGTATCTGTGAGCCAGGTGGAATATCAACAGACACCTCGGACAACGCCTGCACCTGGGCGACAGGATCAGGTCGCCCCCAGGCTGACGGCAAAAACGCAATTTTTCGGCCTTCCGGTAGCTTAATGCAGCTCTCATTAATTCTAATCAGAATGGGCATTCTGGCCAGAAAATCGGTCCCTAACAAACAAGGAACCGCAAGAGACCTCGAAATTAACACAATTCCCGAGGCAGACACTCCCCCGATAGCGATGTTAGCGTTCACCTGGCCCACAATGCCCATGCTACCCCCCTTCGCGGCGATGCAGGAAGCGTAAGCTGGACTCACGGCCTCTGGTGGGATGTTCAAGAGATGAAATATTACATCAGAAATAATGGTCGCGGACGCTCCAGAATCTACCAAAATCCGCACGTCCACCCCTTGTATCGACCCAGGTACGGTGGACGAACCGGTAGCGGCCGCGACAACCCGCCGAGCCAGCTTACGCCACTGCGTTACCGAGCGACAAGGCGCAGTCGATGGCCTCCCGTTATTAACAATACCCGGATCGCACGACAACGGTGATGAATGAGGTGTCAAGCCTTGCCGGGTGTCTGGTGCGCACCGACTTGCCTGTGCTGGCGAATCCTTTCCTGGAGCGGCCGCAGTCGAGGCCTCCTGCTGGGGCGGACCCGGAACGCGGGCCCAGCAGTCCCGAGCGTAATGGCCTTTACGGCCGCAGCGGAAACAGTCGATGTCGTTACGGCGCGCTGCAGACGCCCCGTCCCGACGCGGCCGTGTCGGCGGCGCAGCCCGTGGCCCCGGCCCCCCTCGGCCCGTCCACGGAGTCGCGGCAGCCGACAGCTCCTGCGGGCCCCTGTCGTCTGGCACAAAAACTGCCTTTTTGGGGTCCCAACCCAAGGCTCCACCTTCGACGATAGGCCCCCCCGTCCACGCCGTAACCTGCTTCCACCGGCGCAGGTTGAACTGGGCATCTAGACATCTGGCCGCAGCCCGGGAGGTGAGCTTCTCATGATCACACACCGGCATAGGAATGCCGAGATCCCGGGACAGCTCCAGCATCTTTCCCAGGATGAGAGGTTCCAGCAGGTCAGGCTCCGTCTCCGGGTATGCAGCCATAGCCAGTTCTAGCACCGCGCCCCTATACGCCACCGGAGACTCCTCGGGTGCGCGCTGTCGTTGCACAAACCGGCGATGAGCATCGTCCGGTGGTTCGTAAGCGTCAGCCATTTCGGTGAATACTCCTCGCAACGTTTTCTTCTTTGCGGCTTTTATGGAGCGGAAGAATCTAACAGACTCATCATCGAGAAGAGTCGGAAGAACTTCTAATGCCTCCGCGTCAGTCCACCTCGCCGTGCGTACCGCTGCCAAAAATCTGCAGGCGAACGCGCTCCAATCTCCCCCGATGGAGAATTCTTTTACAGTCGGCAAGTGACGCCGCTGACTCATCGGGTGGCAGATTCAACATGGCGTCCCAACGTGGTGTCGACAAGATGGCGGCCTTACGCCGAGAAGAGCCCAAAATGGCGGCTTCCCGCCTTTCCTCGTGCGCCACGCCCAAGATGGCGTCCTCACGCCGCGTGGCTGATGGCGGCGACAGCGAAGACAACCCGGGCTCCTGCGGACCACCAACATCTCCCCCAGACGCCATTCCCGGCGTGACGAGCTCACACAACTGTGCAAGTACGTTCTTGAGAGTTTCAAGTTGCTCCGCCATCTGACTCCATCTTAAATCCACGTTCTTTAGTGAAGACGGGTCCGCCGACGCGACGACCTCTTGGACCCCCGGACCCGCACTCGTCCCAGCACGGATCTCCTCATCTGTCGGAGTCAGGTCCACCGTAGGAGGAAGGTCTTCGTCGTCGGAAGAAGAAGCCGATGCCGGAGACGGAATAATCTTTTTTCTCAGTTGTTTTGCCATGCCGTTACACTTCCAACACCAGTGTAATAAAAGACTCGGACGCTTCTCTCTGTCCTGTGTCCTTTATTTGGGTTCGATCTCTTTTCCCTCACGGCACTCCCCCTTACTCTTCGCTCTGCAGCCCCAGGCTGCTATCGCTTACGTAGCCCACTTCACAGCACTCCCCTATATACTCTTCGCTCTGCAGCCCCCAGGCTGCTGTCGCTCACGTAGCCCACTCCCTCCTTGCAGACCCGCTGCTGTCTCGTCGTGCAGACCCCCCCCCCCCCGCTGCTCAACTCCACCCTTGCAGACCCGCTGCTCTCTCTGCAGCCTCCTCGCTGCTCCTCCAGCCCCGGGGTCGGTCACCGCTGGCCGACGGTGCCGATCCTCGAGGTCTGTGTGTGTGGCGATCTCGCCACACTCTCTTCCCCACTCCGCCCTGCATGGCCTTACACTTTCCCCAGTCTCCGATCACTCCCTACTGCTTCCGGTTTCTCCCCTTATAACCCTGAACCCTGTCCCCCACGTGACGTAACTCCTCCCCCCATGACGTCACTTCCGGAAGGTCGTTTACGCCCGCATTACACAAGTATACAGGCCTCAGGGTTGGGATCGAACCCACGACCTCCTGTATAGCAGGCGAGGTAGTTAACATCTCCTAGCCACCGTGATGATGATGATGAGACACGCAGACTCCAAATATAGAGCAGGTGTCAAGGTTGGTGATCGAACCCACGACCTCCTGTGTACCAGGCGAGGTAGTTAACATCTCCTAGCCACCGTGATGATGATGAGAGACACACAATCTCCAAATATACAGCAGGCGTCAGGGTCGGGATCGAACCCACGACCTCCTGTATAGCAGGCGAGGTAGTTAACATCTCGCCACCGTTTGCATGCGTGTGTAATAAAGGTCGTTGAAGCGACTTCTGGAATCCGGTCTTTATTCACTTTTCATTACAGCACTTCCTTCACGCTGCTGACAGGCAGCGTGAGAGGGATAGAGAGAGAGAGAGAGACGCACTGCCACGTGGCAGCCTGGACCACGTGGCAGCCTGGACCACGTGGCAGGCTAGACCACGTGGCAGCCTGGACCCCCGTTTTCGCGTGGCCTCCTCCTCCGTTCGTTCCAGTTCTGACCACGTGTCGTTCGTCTCCACCCCTATTTAATACCCGGGTCACGTGGTACCTTTCCACCAATCCTGGTTAGCCTCCATGGAATCTTCCAGACTCCATCGTAGGCTCCCGGGACCACGCCCCTGACTCGTCCCCCCATTGGCTGTGGCCAAAGCCAGCAGAACCAATCCTCTACAAACAGCTGTCACCATCCCATCACGTCAGGGCCACGCCCCTAGGCTTCCCCCCATTGGCTATGGACCAGGACCGGTAGAGCCAATCATCGTGACGAGTTGTAATCCGTCAACGACCCGGATATAACCTCACGTGACACGTGTACTGATGGGTGTGTGTCAACATAGGTGCCGTCTGTGTCGCAGCAGAGCCTGACGAAGCCGAATGTCCACAGGGAACGATCGCGATTCTTAAACACACACGTGGCATGTGCATCGGGGGCTTATTGTGTGTGGCATAAATCGACAGATTCATCGTCGCACGTCGGTTAAACACTTGGCTGAAATGAAAGCGTCGTGAACACAGGCCATTCAGCTTTTGCACAGAAACAGCGGGCATGCAGAGGATTGTGGGGTTTCCCAGGATGCGCTGAGGCCTAGCCTAAACGAATTTCAACCGAAGGTGTTGTTACTGGGATTGCCGCAAAATATTTTTTCACTATACGACATCAAATTTCACAATAGGACGATTTTCCAATAACGTTGTAGTACTCGTATTTAGCGTGTTAGTTCTATTGTAATCAATGCAGTCTATAAGGCTCATGAACGCACAGCGCTGACAGTTACGCCAGAAATGCGGTCAACAATTACACGAAACAAGGCAATGACGATGTCACATAATCGCCATGCTGTCAATTAACGCCGAAAACTGTTAGAAAAGCGTTGATTCGATTTCATAATAAATATTTATTTACAACCTGCATAACTTTTGGTGAGCGCACACAATTGAATTCTTTGGTTTTATCAGCTATGTCTCAAGCTAAGAGTGGTACATATGTTTGTGTGTTTCGTAATCACACCGAATATCTTCCAGTCCGCAGGTGCAAACAATGTACGGGTCAGTGGTGGACTGCAAGCGATTAGCACGCTGAGCTTTGAACCCGGTAACCCGAGTTAAATTCGTGCTCACGCCCAACATCAGTGACGATTGTTTAAACCTGTCATGGGCCTCCCCTCGGTTGCCTGGTGCAGTGCGTAAACATCGCTAGCACTGGGGAGACAAAGACGGCCGGGCGTGGTGCTGGCCACTCACACCCCCTCATGTGCCGTACCAGCCTTCATCGGTGCTTGCCCCGACAGCCTGTCAAAGGGCGTTACGGGGGGGGCGATCTTTGCCCGCGTGTGCGTCCGTGCGTGTGTGTGCGTGCGTGTGTGCGTGTGTGCGTGCGTGTGTGTGCGTGCGTGTGCGTGCATGTGCGTGCGTGTGTGTGCGTGTGCGTGTGCGCGCTCCGCAAGTACTCACTGTAGGGGACGCACTTGTACCAAACCTCCAGGTACTTGTACGTCCCGGGACAGGGGTCCGGAAACAGCTCGTTGCCAGCGACGACGTGGCACCACGTCCTGTTGTTGCACCTGCGGGGGGCAGGGGGAGCGGAGCGGCGTAGAGAGGAGGAGGGGGGGGGTAACGAGCACGCGCGTTAACCCCCCCGCCCACACAAAACAAAAGACAAAGATCCCCCGTGTAGCCTGTAACAGACTGTTGGGGCAAGTGCTGTTAGCCAGCACCTATGAAGGCCAGCACGGCACACGAGGGGGTGGGTGGCCAACACCACGCCCTTTGTCTCCCTAGTGGCGATGTTTACACATTGCACCAAGGCTGAGTCGACCTAGGAGAGGCCCGGGACCATTTCAGATAATCGTCACTGGTGCTGGCCGTGAGCGGGAATTGAACCCGGTTCACCAGGTTCATAGCGCAGCGCGCTAACCGCTACACTGCCGCTCCCTCCACACAGACACACACACACAGACACACACACAGACACACACAGACACACACAGACACACACACACACACAGACACACACACACAGACACACACACACAGACACACACACAGACACACACACACAGACACACACACACACACAGACACACACACACACAGACACACACAGACACACATAGACACACACACACACAGACACACACACACAGACACACACACACAGACACACAGACACACACAGACACACACAGACACACAGACACACACAGACACACACACACAGACACACACACACAGACACACACAGACACACAGACACACACAGACACACACAGACACACACACACAGACACACACAGACACACACACACAGACACACACACACAGACACACATAGACACACACACACACAGACACACACACACAGACACACACACACAGACACACACAGACACACACAGACACACAGACACACACAGACACACACACACCGGTGCCGCGACTCTCGGCCACAGCTGGGCCAAGCATCCCCAGTGCAGGACCCTCCTGTGAGAGGGTGATGATGAGAATCAGGCCCTTTGTGGCTATCAAATGACTGGCATATTCATTATAATTATTATGATTCTTACTGGGGGGGGAGGGGGGGCGGGCAGGGATAGACGGTGGCCGAGTGGGTTAGCGCACTGTGACACGTAGCCGGTGCCCCGAGTTTGTTCGTGTACATGCTGTGTTGGAGGTATGTACGTGTATGTATGCGAGTCTATGGGTCTCTGAGGCTGTGGGTGTCTGTGTGAGTCTATGGGTCTCTATCCGAGTCTGTGGGTCTCTATGGATGTATGGAGACTTTCTTTTGCACCGTTTGTAGCCAGAGAAAAATCCATGCGACCACAGGGAGAGGCTGTGCCTCCCCTTACTGTGCCAACTACACGACCACTCCCACACACACTCACACGCGTGCACACACACACACACAAACACACACACGCACACACACACACGCGTGCACACACACACACGCGTGCACACACACACACACGCTCGCGCGCGTGCGTGCACACACACACGCTCACACACACAAACACACACGCACACACACACACGCGTGCACACACACACACGCGTGCACACACACACACACGCTCGCGCGCGTGCGTGCACACACACACACACGCGCACACTACACTCGCGCGTGCACACACACACACGCTCACGACACTGGCGCCCACCTCCGAGCCACGATGTGGAAGCTCTCGACCTGCAAGCAGGCCGTGTTCTGCATCTTGGCCGCCTCGGACTCGCAGATCTGTCCGTCGGTGCGGCCGTAGAAGGCCGAGCTGACGGCGATGACGTAGCTGCCCGGGCAGCGCAGGTCGACGGGACGACCCTCGCACGACAGCTCCCGCCGCACCGGGGACTCGGAGCCTGCGACGGACAGGACGGACAGGCGGAGGTGGACAAGGTCAAGAGGTCGTTATGTGTGTGTATAGGTCCGTCTGTGTGTGTGTAGGTCTGTTTAGGTGTGTGTAGGTGTGTGTAGGTCTGTGTCAGAGGTCGCAAACGGGTTTTGATTCCTTACCCGTACCCGGCCACACCAGGGTCGCAATCGGGTACCCGATACCCGTACCCGTACCCGGCTGTACCCGTACCCGGCCGCACCAGGGTCGCAAACGGGTACCCGTTCCCTACCCGTACCCGGCCGGGTACGAGTAGGGTACGGGTACGGGTACCCGATTGCGACCTCTGGGATGAAGCCATGTTGCAGGCGCGGGTGGGTTGATTCTAGGAACTTGAATTGTGAGAAGAGACAAGACGTTGGGAAATGAGTGACAAACGGTGACTCACCAGTGACTCACGGCCTACCCGTACCCGGCCGCACCAGGGTCGCAAACGGCTACCCGTACCCGACCGGGTACGGGTAGCCGGGTATCGGGTAGGGTACGGGTATCGGGTACCCGGTTGCGACCTCTGGGACAAGGTCAAGAGGTCGTTATCGTCATCATCATCATTGTTATTATGATTGGCCGCTTACCCAAGCAAACGCCTCAGAGTCTCAAGGGTTATTGTCCAGGAGGGTCCTGCCAGGGTTTCACCGTAGTGGCCGATGTTGCTACCGCTGCTGCTGCTGCTGCTGTGTGGTGGAATCCAATTTTTCAGTTTGTGTTTCGTTTGTTGTCCTTCCCCCACAACTCCGATGAGCACGGTGGGCTACGTACGGTGCCAAAGACGTCCAAAGTACGCACGTGCTTTGGAAACAACAACAAGAACACACTCCATGCAGAAAGGTGCCCAAGTCGGGATTTGAACCCAGGCGCTGCTTGCTGTGATGCACAAGTGTCACCGCCAATGTGGGATTTCCAGGATGTCCAATTGGAATGAGCACCCAAACACCCCCATTGCAATCCAACAGTAGCAACGATTTCAACTTGTAGCGCTCTGACGGCTATCGCTCGCCCTGCCAGAGAGAGAACGAGCTATACAGCTCAACGACGTGGCTTATCGTGTGGACATTTATAGCAGCCAAATACTCTAAAATGCACGTTGATTCTAAATGTCCAGCGAACACCCGGAGGACCTGGAGAAAAATCCACGTGACCACGGGGAGAACAGGCAAACTCCAAATATACGGCAGGCATCAGGAGTCGGGATCGAACCCACGGCCTCCTGTATACCAGGCGAGGTTGTTAACATCTCACCACGGAGAGAGAGAGAGACACGCAAACCCCAAATATACAGCAGCAGGTGTCCGGGTCGGGATCGAACCCACGACCTCCTGTGTACCAGGCGAGGTGGTCAACATCTCACCGCCACGGCGCCCCTCTCTTATGCACATCACTTCTCAATTCACTACGTTGTTGTCTCGTCTCTATCAGTTTTTTTTTCTCATCTCACTCCGTCGCTATCTTTGCAGGAGGTTCATGGGTTCAATCCTGACCGTGATGCCTGCTGTAGACATGAAGTTTGCATGTCTCCCTCCCCGTGGTCGCGTTCGTTTTTCTCCGGGTCCTCCGGTTTATGTCTCGCGACGATGACGACGATGATGATGAAAGTATTTGGCCACTACTATAAATGTGCACGTGCCAATAAGCCACTTTGTGGAGCTATAACCTGCGATCACCAGGTCGCTTCTGACAAAGAGCTATAATATATAATAAAAATCTCAGTGGGCGCCTTAACTGGTTCAATAAACTATGGGAAACTCATTTGCCAGTAAAAATATGATAATTGGTTTTTTACCCTTCTATCTGGCAACAAAACTGACACCTTTTTACAAGGAGTCATGTTTGCATAGACCACAATACCTGCAGTCATAATGCAAACAAAAAACATAACTCTGATAATGTGCACTGTCCTTGAGGTTGATTGGTCCACACCCGAGACAGCTTTCCTTAGAGCCTAGTCTCACATGGGTTGGACCAGATGACGCCAAAAGTTTTTAAAACAAGACAGAGCCTCGTACCGGTTGCGCGAGGCCAACCGCTTGCGCCCAGCAGCAGCAGCAGCTGCGCTTGAAGCAGTCTCCAGCTGGCCATCGTGAACCCACGCGCGATGTCGGCAGCAGGAGACGGAGGAGTCGGGCAGAGTGACCTCTGAACCGCTGACCTCTGACCCCTCCGGCGAGGACTTTCTCCAAGGCGTTGCTGGAGACGGTGAAGTCGTTTTAGTCTCAGTACTTGGTCAGGTGAATGCTGTGGTGGAGACGGAGAGAGTGTGATCGTCATTAGTGTTACAGTGGACGTCACTGTTGCATCATCATCATCATCCATTACACCTGTCACGATGGTCCTGACTCCGATGAGCACTCCTTGGCTACGTACGGTGCAAAATAAGTTCAGCAAACATGAGCACATGCATACCTACTCCGGTCTACTACCAGCGACAAAATAATTCCTTGAAAAATCAAGTCAGCCACGGGGGAGAAAGTCCAGGCATAAGTGGGTTATCGCGCCTTCAGGCGATGTAGAGACGGGCAAGAAACCAACTTGCTGTGAGGTCACTTGTGAAAAAGAGCCACAGACACTCAGTGGGCCCTGAGCTTGGTAATATAAAAGTGTAGTTGAGTTATATTCTTGGTTCTTTCGGTAAAGTCACGTCCATAGAAATGTTTAATTAAAAAGATAACAAATTGAAAATGATAAAAGCAAAAAACCCACAATGATGACCACGTGGAAACGTCGAGCATCCAAATAGTCTCCAAACGCGCGACGTTGATTCTATAAATGTGGAGAAAATTTCACGCGACCACGGAGAGAGACACCGCAAAACTCCAAACAGACAGTAGAAGCGTCAGGGTTGGGATAGAACCCACGACCTCCTGCGTACCAGGCGAGGTAGTTAACATCTCCTAGCAAACCATGATGATGAGAGAGACACGCAGCCTCACGGCTGTCAATGTACTCAACAGGCTGCAGAGAGAGCACTGCTGTTGTGCACAGGAGCACTTCTCTAGCTCCGAAGTCTAAAGTCGCCTGCCTTTCTCCGGGCCGCATTGGCCAGCGACGTGAAGCGGGGGTCAAGCAAATCTCCCCTGGATTTGAAGCTTTCGTGACTGCAAGGATTCATACTCTTGGTTCTTTCGGTAAAGTCACGTAGGTAAAAAATGAAATTTAAAATAATTAGAATCCCTGACTCACTTGATGCAGCAAATCTGGCTGTGACGGTCCCACCTGATGACGGAGACTTGTGTTGCCTCCGAAACGTCGTGATTTTATTATTTTATTTTTATTAATTTCATTTTTTACCTACATGGTGACTTTACCGAAATAACTAAAAGTACAAATCTCCCCTCTCGAGGTCAGCCTCATCCAGCAGCGGGTCGGCGAAAGGCTTCGATGAAAACCCCTACGCGTCAATTAACTCGCGTCTATTCATAGTGGCGAGGTGGGGGGGGGGAAGATCCCCCGTGTAGCCTTGACAGACTGTAGGGGCAAGTGCTGTTAGCGAGTAGCAGCAGCAGCTATGAAGGCCGTCACTGTAGCTTACAAAGACAAAGATGCCCCGTGTAGCCTTGACAGACTGTTGGGGCAAGTGCTGTTAGCAAGTAGCAGCAGCAGCAGCTATGAAGGCCGTCACTGTAGCTTACAAAGACAAAGATCCCCCGTGTAGCCTTGACAGACTGTAGGGGCAAGTGCTGTTAGCGAGTAGCAGCAGCAGCAGCTATGAAGGCCGCCTTTGTCTCCCCAGTAACCAGCCCGTGCTGTCAAGATACACACGGATATCCACATTCACCATACATCACTCACTCGCATTCATTACATTAACAAAACTAAAATTTTTATTTTTTTTACCTACGTGACTTTGCCGCATTGATGAGCAATTAGATTTTGTTCGCTTGCAAAAATTAATCGTTAAATAATTAATAAAAATCTATAATTAATTCTTTAACGATCAATGTTGGGAGCTTGGTGAGGTTGTTTAGGCCTCAGCCTCGGCGCTCGCCTGGATCTCAGGCCCGGCTCGTTGGGCCGGAGTCGCTAGGCGAGGCCGTGGTCCCCCGACGTGAGGCGAGGCCTGGTGACTACCCATCATGTCTCGCCCTCTCACGTTCACATTGGTGCACTTGCAACGATTTGTTTATGTTACTCGTGGGCTATAAGCTTTCATTGTGACGTTGCCGTGCTTTAAACATTGTTATTTACGTTTTAATAGCGGTTCACAGACGCGAATCATTGTACCGTACACACACGGACCACGCAGCTCCTCGCGCAGGCTGTAGTAGCAGCAGCAGCTATGAAGGCAAAGACAAAGATGCCCCGTGTAGCCTGTAGTAGCAGGCTGTAGGGGCAAGTGCTGTGAGCAGCAGCAGCTATGAACACACAGAGACAAAGATCCCCCGTGTAGCCTCTAGCAGGCTGTAGGGGCAAGTGCTGTGAGTAGGGGGTTGTTGTGGTGGTTGTTGTGGTGGTTGTGGTTCTGGTGGTGGTTGTGGTGGTTTTTGTGGTGGTGGTTGTGGTGGTGGTTGTAGTGGTGGTGGTAGTTGTGGTGGTTGTTGTTGTGGTGGTGGTTGTGGTAGTTGTTGTGGTGGTAGTTGTAGTGGTGGTAGTGGGGGTTGTTGTGGTTGTTGTTGTGGTGGTTATGGTGGTGGTTGTTGTGGTGGTTGTGGTGGTGTGGTGGTTGTTGTGGTCAGGGTCGGGATCGAACCCACGACCTCCTGTAGACCAGGCGAGGTGGTCAACGTCTCATAGCCACACGGAGCCAGCGGAACGGATAATGTAATCGATGATAATCGATCATCAGAGAGAGGGAGACACGCAAAACGATGATTATAATCGATGGGAATCGATTAGCAGAGAGAGACGCGCAAACCAACGATTAGAATCGATGAGAATCGAACAAACGATTCCCGGTGACGTCATAACCCGGAGACCATCGCCAAGTTCAAGATGGCGGCACCCAGGTTGGAGGTTGTGGTAGTGGTGGTTGTAGTGGTGGTTGTGGTTGTTGTTGTGGTGGTGGTGGTGGCTGTTGTGGTGGTGGTTGTGGCGGTGGTTGTTGTGGCGGTGGTTGTTGTTGCGGTGGTTGTTGTGGCGGTGGTGCTTGTAGTGGTGGTTGTTGTGGCGATGGTTGTGGTGGTGGTTGTTGTTGTGGTGGTTGTTGTGGTGGTTGTTGTGGTGGTGGTTGTAGTGGTGGTGGTTGTTGTGGCGGTGGTTGTAGTGGTGGTTGTGGTTGTTGTTGTGGTGGTGGTGGTGGCTGTTGTGGTGGTGGTTGTGGCGGTGGTTGTTGTGGCGGTGGTTGTTGTTGCGGTGGTTGTTGTGGCGGTGGTGCTTGTAGTGGTGGTTGTTGTGGCGATGGTTGTGGTGGTGGTCGTTGTTGTGGTGGTTGTTGTGGTGGTTGTTGTGGTGGTGGTTGTAGTGGTGGTGGTTGTTGTGGCGGTGGTTGTAGTGGTGGTTGTGGTTGTTGTTGTGGTGGTGGTGGTGGCTGTTGTGGTGGTGGTTGTGGCGGTGGTTGTTGTGGCGGTGGTTGTTGTGGCGGTGGTTGTTGTGGCGGTGGTTGTTGTTGCGGTGGTTGTTGTGGCGGTGGTGCTTGTAGTGGTGGTTGTTGTGGCGATGGTTGTGGTGGTGGTTGTTGTTGTGGTGGTTGTAGTGGTGGTGGTTGTTGTGGCGGTGGTTGTAGTGGTGGTTGTGGTTGTTGTTGTGGTGGTGGTGGTGGCTGTTGTGGTGGTGGTTGTGGCGGTGGTTGTTGTGGCGGTGGTTGTTGTGGCGGTGGTTGTTGTTGCGGTGGTTGTTGTGGCGGTGGTGCTTGTAGTGGTGGTTGTTGTGGCGATGGTTGTGGTGGTGGTTGTTGTTGTGGTGGTTGTTGTGGTGGTTGTTGTGGTGGTGGTTGTAGTGGTGGTGGTTGTTGTGGCGGTGGTTGTAGTGGTGGTTGTGGTTGTTGTTGTGGTGGTGGTGGTGGCTGTTGTGGTGGTGGTTGTGGCGGTGGTTGTTGTGGCGGTGGTTGTTGTGGCGGTGGTTGTTGTTGCGGTGGTTGTTGTGGCGGTGGTGCTTGTAGTGGTGGTTGTTGTGGCGATGGTTGTGGTGGTGGTTGTTGTTGTGGTGGTTGTTGTGGTGGTTGTTGTGGTGGTTGTTGTTTGTGTGGTGGTGGTTGTGGTGGTTGTTGTTTGTGTGGTGGTGGTTGTTGTTTGTGTGGTGGTGGTTGTTGTTGTTTGTGTGGTGGTTGTTGTTGTGGTGATGGTTGTTTGTGTGGTGGTGGTTGTTGTTGTTGTGGTGGTTGTTGTTTGTGTGGTGGTGGTTGTTGTGGTGGTTGTTGTTTGTGTGGTGGTGGTTGTTGTTGTGGTTGTTGTTTGTGTGGTGGTGGTTGTGGTGGTTGTTGTGGTGATGGTTGTTGTTGTTTGTGTGGTGGTGGTTGTTGTTTGTGTGGTGGTTGTTGTGGTGGTTGTTGGGTTTAACGAGGCTGCATTGTGTGAGGAGCTCACAAATCCTTGAAAGATCTGGGCAAAGTCCCATCAGTGAGCTCCTCCGGCAGGCAAGGCTGCGTTGGCTGGGTCATGTAGCCCGCATGCCCAGCCACCGCATGCCTAAACAGCTTTTGTTCGGCCGGATCGAGGGGGCTAAACGGGCGTGGCACGGGCTAGAGAAGAGATGGAGTGATGTGGTACAGGAGGACGTGGAGCTGAGTGGACTTGCCGATGACTGGTACCAGCGGTGTCAAGATCGGCCTCAGTGGATGGAGGCTCGTGAAGGACGCTACTGGGCAGTTGGAGGCAGTCGCCCTCCAACAACAACGGAGGGCGGAGGAGCGACGCTCACAACAACGAGCGGAGCGCCGGGTGGCTAAAGCACAGCAAGTTGGTACAGTAGGGGGCACAGATGGTGCATCAGCCAGTCATCTCGGTCATCTCAGTCAGTCGACCCGTGGCACCTGCTGGGTCTGCCCCGTGACCTCCTGCCAGCGGGCGTTCGACACTTCACGTGGCAGCCTCAAGGTGCACGTGGCCTGGCACAAGCGTCGTGGTGACATCACCGCCACTTAGTGGCGAATGGCGGTTGCTGTTGTGGTAATGTGTGTGTGTCTGTGTGTAATGTCTACACACACACACGCTCACCTCTCCCCCACTCCCCCCCTCCCAGGCCGAAGGACTTTGTCACCACCATGGCCACCGCGGCGCTCCTGTCTGACGCTCCACGCCCTGCCCCTGCTCCTGCTGCTGCTGCCCCTGCTGCTGCTGCCCCTGCTGCTGTCCCTGCTGCTGCCCCTGCTGCTGCTGTCCCTGCTGCTGCCCCTGCTGCTGTCTCTGCTGCTGCCCCTGCTGCTGTCCCTGCTGCTGCTGTCCCTGCTGCTGCCCCTTCTGCTGCCCCTGCTGCTGTCCCTGCTGCTGTCCCTGCTGCTGCTGTCCCTGCTGCTGCTGTCCCTGCTGCTGCCCCTGCTGCTGCCCCTGCTGCTGTCCCTGCTGCTGCTGCCCCTGCTGCTGCCCCTGCTGCTGCCCCTGCTGCTGTCCCTGCTGCTGCTGTCCCTGCTGCTGCCCCTGCTGCTGCCCCTGCTGCTGTCCCTGCTGCTGCTGCCCCTGCTGCTGCCCCTGCTGCCCCTGCTGCTGTCTCTGCTGCCCCTGCTGCCCCTGCTGCCGCCGCACCACCGCTTGGCTCCCTGCCGCGCCGCTGGTGGTCCGGCTTCATTGGCGCTCTCAGAGGCTGCTTCTTTACCAGCACCGCCACCGCCGCCACTGCCAACACCGCCGGAGGGGGGCGGCAGCGAGAGAGAGGAGGCTTCTCGGTGGGGGAGGGTGGGGGAGGTGGCTGGTGTTGGTGGTGGGCGTTGGTGGTGTGGGCGGTTGGTGTTGTCGGTGGTGGTGGATTGGCGTTGGTGGTGGCGAGTTGGTGGTGGTGGTGGCGGAGGTGGCCCGGGTGTTGGCGGTGGCGGTGTTTGGCTGGTGGTGGTGGGGCGGTGGTGGTTGTGGTGTTGGCGGTGGTGGCGTGGTGGTGGTGTGTTGTGGCGGTGGTGTGTTGTTGGCGGTGGTGGCGGTGGTGGCATGCTGGTGTGGCGGTGGTGTTGGCGGTTGGTGGTGTGTTGGCGGGTGGGGTTGTGTTGTTGACTGTGGTGGCGGTGATGCCAGAAACCTGACAAGTTTGGCGGTGGCGGTGGTGTGGGCGGCTGGGAAGCTGCGCTCAATATTCACGCTGCTCGTTGAGTGTGAGGAGGACGACCATGTGAGACCACGGGTGGGGCGCACGGGGGGACAAGGATATGTGTCTGTGTGTGTGTGTAGGTCGACTCAGCCTCAAATGTGTAAACATCGCTGCTAGGGCGACAAAGGGCATGGTGTTGGCCACCGACCCCCTCGTGTGCCGTGCCGGCCTTTACAGGTGCTACTCGCTCACAGCACTTGCTCCTACAGTCTGTTAAGGCTACACGGGGGATTTTTGTCTGTGAGGCAGTCGCCCTCCAACAACAACGGAGGACGGAGGAGCGACGCTCACAACAACGAGCGGAGCGCCGGGTGGCTAAAGCACGGCAAGTTGGCACAGTAGGGGGCACAGGTGGTGCATTACCCAGTCATCTCGGTCATCTCAGTTGACCCGTGGCACCTGGGTTTGCCCCTTGACCTCCTGCCAGTGGGCGTTTGACACTTCACGTGGCCTCAAGGTGCACATGGTCTGGCGAATGGCGGTTGTTTGTGCATCTCCTCACCTCCCCGTGCCCCTACAGGTGCTTGCGTCTGCATGCGAGATGTTGCAAGTCCTCAGCTCCAGCCATGCTGGCGCATTGGCATTTAGCAACAATGGAAGCCTCGCGGCCTTAGCCAGCCTGCTGGGACGCACTCACAACCCTCACACCCTGGAGAAGATCACCGGTAGCAACCCACCCACACTCACCACCCACACTCACCACCCACACTCACCACCACCCACACTCACCACCCACACCACCCACACTCACCACCACCCACCCTCACCACCCACACTCACCACCCACACTCACCACCCACACTCACCACCCACGCTCACCACCCACGCTCACCACCCACGCTCACCACCCACGCTCACCACCCACGCTCACCACCCACGCTCACCACCCACGCTCACCACCCACGCTCACCACCCACGCTCACCACCCACGCTCGCCACCCACGCTCGCCACCCACGCTCGCCACCCACGCTCGCCACCCACGCTCGCCACCCACGCTCGCCACCCACGCTCGCCACCCACGCTCGCCACCCACGCTCGCCACCCACGCTCGCCACCCACCCTCGCCACCCACGCTCGCCACCCACGCTCGCCACCCACGCTCACCACCCACGCTCACCATCCACCCTCGCCACCCACACTCGCCACCCACCCTCGCCACCCACACTCGCCACCCACGCTCGCCACCCACGCTCGCCACCCACGCTCACCACCCACGCTCACCATCCACACTCACCACCCACACTCACCACCCACACTCGCCACCCACCCTCGCCACCCACACTCACCACCCACGCTCACCACCCACGCTCACCACCCACCCTCGCCACCCCTACCCCAGGCACGCTGTGGAACCTGTCGCGCCATGAGTTTCTGAGGGCTGCGCTGGTGGAGCTTTGCCTCCCGGCGCTGGTGGAGCACGTGCTGGTGCCAGAGAGCGGCTGGAGGAGCAACTTTGGAGACTTGCCCGCCTCAACCTCCCCACCCGGCTCGTCCGCCTCGCCTTCCGCGGCATTCTGCAACGCCTTGACGTGCCTACGGTAAGGGGCGGTGATTTCGTGGTGGACGTGACGGGGAACGCCGCGGTTGACGCGACGTCACGCGGTGGACGCGACAGGGAACGTCGGGGGTTCACGTCACGGCGGTGACATTGCAGGGAGTTGAGCTCGGCAGATCCGGACGGACGGCTGAGCACGTGGAAGGGCGAGGGGCTGGTGGACTGCGTGCTGCGCTTCGTCCGCTCGGCACTGAGAGGACGCAACATCGAGACCAAGGTGACCCCCACAGCGCGATGGGTAGCGGTGGTGTAGCGGTTAGCGCTACGCTGCTCTATGAACCCGGCGGCGGGTCCAAGTGTGTCGAGTCCAACTCGGTCGCAGACGTTGTCTTGGGAGCAACACTCTTCAGCGACACAACACAAGCTACACTTGGGTGTTGACCGCGTGACTAGAGGCTTCTTCAACCCGATGCGGATCTTCATCGCCAGCAACACGAAGAACCCCGAGCCTTTCACTCTTTGGTCTGCATCAGCAGCAGGCCACGCTTTCCCGCCCGTTGACAGACACTTGCGTGGCGTCCGAAACGTCGTGATTTAATTTAGTTTTAATTTTATTTTATTTTCACCTACGTGACTTTACCGAAAACACCAAAGAGTATGAATCATCGCAGTCGCGAAAACTTCAGATCTACAACCCCTCGCCCCGCCCACCTTCTAGATCTTTCCGGCTCTTTCCCGAAGGCTCCCCGAAGGCTCTTGTAGACCACGTGACCGCCCAGCGGCCCCCCGTCCACCGGTGGCCCCCTCCAATATCATCCGGTCACGTGTCGGCAGGTCAACCGGCGTATCGTGCCCCAACGTAACCCTGGCTGGCTGACGCTCCCTCTCGCTCCCTCGCCGGGAGCCCGCACCGCACGCCGTACGTGGTGTCTCCGCGCTGACCAGCGCTCACCCAGCCCCGCGAGGGCTGGTGGTACTACGCCCAGTGAGCGGGCTGCACGTAATGCCAACACATTATACGCCGTGGCTTCGTAAGCCCGGCACCACACAGTGACAATCACAGTCACTACACAAGCAAGAACATCTGCTGGACTACATAGTGACGGACCAGCGGATGCGGGCCCATGTCCTTGACACCAGGACCTACCGTGGAGCTGATCTGCCCTCTGACCATCGACTAGTCATCAGTAAGATGCGCCTGCCATTCTTCCACTCCGGTGGTGGGTGTACACCCAGGACCCCATTCCAACCTAAGGTGGCCTGGTCTCAGCTGATGAAAGTTGCAAGCGAGAATTTCATCATCGCTTGCGGCTGGGGTTGGCATCGTCCCCCACTCCTCATGTCGAGGGTAAATGGGCGAGGTTTAGGACTGTGGCTCATGCAGCTGCAATGGCTGCTTTGGGTACACGGTCCAGACCTCCTCAGAGACCCTGGCTGACAGAGGAGGTGTTCAGGCTGGCTGAGAAAAAGCAACAGGCCCACTCTCATCGTCTACAGCATCCCATGTCAGAGAATGAGGCGGCTTACCGCAGCCTTCGCTCAGAGGTTCGGAGAGCCGTGAGGCGCTGCGAGGATGGTTGGTGGTTGCAGGTTCCTGAAGAGATGGAGTCTGCCTCAATGGCCCGCGATCACAAATCACTGTTTAATTCCATCAAAAAAGTGACCTGCAGCACCACACCTATTACCATCATTAAGGGAAAGAACGGTGATCCAATCTCCGACCCATAGGAACAGGTTTGCAGATTTGCTGAGCAATTCTGTGAGGTCCCGGGAGAGGGGAACTCCCCCAGCCTGCAAAACATTGTGGGACAAAGAGAGGATAACCCTGCTGAGGCTGCGGTGCCTCATTATTTGAAGAGGAAGTCACCCCCTGTGAGTGGCTGGCTGAGCTGCCATCTAAGGAAGTACTGAAAGCGATCCAGAGCCTGAGACCAGGAAAGGCACCGGGCAGAAATGATCTCTCAAGAGAAATGCTGAGGGAGGGTGGCGTTTGTGCACAGACTGCCCTACATGACATAATAACAAGAGTCTGGACTACTGGACGGTTCCGCAGGATTGGAAGGATGCCCTGGTGGTCCCCCTCTTGAAGAAGGGCGACCCTGCACAGACTAACAACTACAGGGGCATCTCACTCCTCAGTGTGCCGGGAAAGGTCCTGGCAAGGATTATTCAACATCGCCTTGCTAGGCATGCTGAGGAGAGGCTTGCGGAGCCCCAATGTGGTTTCAGGAAAGGGCGGTCCTGCACAGATGCCATATTTTCTGTCCGTCTGCTACAGCAGAGGTGTTGGAAATTCCAACAAGACCTACATCTCTGCTTTATTGACCTGGTCAAGGCCTATGATACCATCAGTAGGCCTGGGCTCTGGGTTGTTCTTCGTGCTTTCGGAGTCCCTGACCCTCTGCTCACGATCATTAAGGACCTTCATGATGGTGAGCGGGCCCGGGTAAAACTACATGGCCGGGGTGTGGACAGGGATGTCCTCTGGCTCCCGCATTATTTAACATCTATTTCGGCCGTGTAGTTTGTGAAGCCTTCAATAGCTGTACTGGTGATGATGATGGTGATGATGGTAATGATGGTGATGATGATGGTGATATGTGTGTGTGTGTATCTGCGTGTGTGTGTATACCTGTGTGTGTGTGCGTATATGTATGCGTGCGTGTGTATGTATCTGCGTGTGTGTGTGTGTATGTGTGTGTGTATGTATGTGCATGTGTGGGTATGTGGGTGTGTGTGTGTATGTGTGTATGTATGTATATATGTGTGTGTATGTGCGTGTATGTGCGTGCGTGTATGTGCGTGCGTGTATGTATGCATGTGTGTGTATGTATGTGTGCGTGTGTGTATGTATGTGTGTATGTATGTGCGTGTAGTGTATGTATGTGTGTGTGTATGTGTGTGTATGTGCATGTGTGTGTATGTGCGTGTGTGTATGTATGTGCGTGTGTGTGTGTATGTGCATGTGTGTGTATGTATGTGCGTGTGTGTATGTGCATGTGTGTGCGTGTGTGTATGTGCATGTGTGTGTATGTGTAATAAACCTCCTTGAGACGGCTTCCGGAATCAGTCCTTTTTATTTTCAACTTCCACAGTTACACTTTACACACACTCCCCGTTGCTGGCAGACAACGGAGAGAGGGCAGACTTCTCGCCAAGTCCCCACCGCGCACGTGGCACCCAGAGCCCCCGTACGCGCGTGACTCTTGCTCTTGTCGTCCCCAAGTCTGCTCACGACTGTCCTCTCTCTCTTAATCCCTTCGTCACGTGGTACCCCCCAGCCAATCCTCCATAGACAGTGTTGACCGCTCCCGATGGTTCCCTGTCAATCCCGGGACCACGCCTCTGATCCGGCTCCCCATTAGCTGAGGCCCCGATTGGCCAGGCCAATCACCCCTGCTGACGTGCCGCGATCACGCCGAGGCCATGCTCCCTGGCTCATCCCTTATTGGCTACAAAGCAGGACCGGCAAGCCAATCCCCACGTGAACCCTCTATGGCTGTTATTACATCATCCCCCCCCCCCCCCCCGGTGAAAAAAATCAGCCATCTCGGCTGGGAAAAGGGTGATCAACCAATTCCGTAAAACATCTTATTAGGGCACCAAGGTGCGTTTAACAATAAAGGGTGACGGCGTCCCCGCGCCGAACAACACTTAAAAACAGTCACCCATGTAAAACCCGACATACATTAGGGCGCCCCTGCAGCGCGGTAACAACAGGGAGAACAGCTAGACGATCAAACGTTAACGAAACGGGAGAGATTTCAATCGCGTACGCGACGCGGGACCCTCTCTGCTTCCGGCGCATGGTCGCTTCGCTTTCAGATCGACAGGTGGTGGTAGACTTGAAGAAGAAGGTTGTTGGTTTTCGGTCATGTCCAGGGCAAGCCCCGTTGGAGGGGGGGCAGCGGGGGCTTCCTCAGCCCTCAGAACCTGTTCATCTGTAGGAGGCACAACACAGTCCCCCTTGGGATCAACGGGTGTGGCAATCGGCGTAATCGGCCCGGCAGACCCCGGCAGGTCAGCTAGTGGGGATGAAGGACCGACACGCGCATCAACATAGGGTTTAAGTCGCGAGGAATGAACATACCACCGACGGTTTCCGTATTGAACGCGGATACTCTGTGCGTTCCGAACATCTATCAGTGTCCCGGGCCCCCACCATGGCCTGTGCAGTTTAGGGGATGTGCTCACCGGTACCTGGGGGCAGTGGAGCCACGCCAGGTCTCCCACTGACCAAGGCATGCGAGAATGCGATCGACGCGCATACCGTTCATTCCTTACCTGGGCACGGGCCGTCGCACACCTGGCAGCCTCTCGCGCCTCCGTAACTCGTTCAAGCGAGTCCCGCACGTGATCAGGCAAGGAGCGAGACGGTTGTTTACTCGGCTTACCCAGTTACACATCGATGGGTGGAACATTCTCACGGCCATACATAAAAAAAAATGGTGAGTATCCCGTGGACGTGTGTGGAACCATGTGGTATGCCGCTAAGATGCCTGGTATGTGCAAGTCCCAATCGGTTTGCTTTTCACTGACCGTGTGACAAAGCATAGCCGAGAGGGTACGGTTGAATCGTTCCACCATACCATCTGTTTGCGGATGGTATGGGGAAGTGCGAATTTTCTTTGTACCCAGCGCGTCGCAAACCTCCTTAAGCAATTTAGAGGAGAAGTTCCGCCCTTGATCTGTGAGCAGCCTCTCAGGTGCCCCCTTGTCCATGACATACCCGTTCAAGAAAGCGTCGGTGATGGACGCAGCCGTTTGGTCGGGCAGAGGCCAGGCCATCGGCCATTGAGAAAAATATTCCACCCCGACGAGAAGGTATTTATTGCCTCTAGCCGAAGGGGGAAACGGGCCCAGAATGTCCAGAGCAACCAATTCGTTGATGCGGGACACCTCAATGGAACGTAACGGCGGTACATAGGGGTTCCGAGGCAGTTTCCTCTTCGCACAATCATGGCATGAGCGGACAAAGTCATTGACGTCTGCCGTCATACCGGCCCAAAAAAAATCCTTTTGCATCGCGGCCAAAGTCTTTTGGACGCCGAGGTGCATCAACCTATCAGCGTGCAGAGCGTGAAGCAGGTCGTAGCGAAGTGAAGCAGGCACGACCAAGCGTGGTTGGTCAGACAACCCGTCGGTGCACATTAACAATCCCAACTTGCCTCGGAACATCTGCCACTTCCATCTCGCCAATTGAGATTTTTGTTTCCCTACCAATTTCCGTAGCAGAGACAGCGAGGCATCAGCCTCCTGCTCACGTAACCAGACCGCATGCGGCAGCCGTAAGGTATCATCGGTGTCCACCGACACCTTCTGGTCGTCCTCATTCGCTTTCGCCCCTGTATCGTCCTCATTAGCTATCGCCCCCATAACCGGGCAGGGCGAGGTGGGCGGTGCCGTGCAGCGGTGCGTGCCCGTCAGGCAAGTGCACGGAGGAACGGGTGGCAGCCTCGAGAGCGCGTCAGCGTTCGCGTGACGGGCCCCCTTTCGATATGTAATATGGAAGGAAAATTCCTGTAACGATTCCAACCACCGAGCCAATTGGCCTGACGGCTGGTCCAATTTCAAGGAGTATTGCAAAGCCGCATGATCAGTGCGAACAAGGAATTTCCTTACAGGTACGGCTGGTACAATCGAACAAAATGCACAATTGCCAAAAGTTCCCGCCTCGTCACGCAATAGCGTGTTTCCGCAGGGGACAGAACCCTGCTGCCATACGCCACCACTCGCTCAACACCGTCCTTACGTTGCGACAAAACGGCCCCAATGCCGATGTCACTAGCATCCGTATCAAGGATGAACGGCTGCAAGAAGTCTGGGTAATCTAGCGTAGGCGCCGTGGCGAGGTGGTCCCGAAGCACTCTAAAATAATTTTCTTCCTCAACTCCCCATTTAAACCTTTGATTTTTGCCCGTTACAACGTGTAATGGTTTCGCCAACGTCGCAAAGTTCTTAACGAAGCGGCGATAATAGGAAGCGAATCCTATAAACCGCCGAACATCACCCACGGAAGTGGGTGTGGGTCACTCTCGAATACATTTTATTTCAGAGGGTCAGTTGACACGCCGTCCGAGCTGACAATATGACCCAAGTAACGGACAGAGTGTTGCAAAAGGTGACATTTCCTAGGTTTAAATTTGAGGTCAGCCGCCCGCATTCTTTGAAAAACCGTCTCTAGGCGTTGGAGGTGTTCCTCGAACGTGCGGCTGAAAACAATAATCGTCTAGATATATGAGGCACGTTTCCCATTGTAGTCCGGCCAACACCAATTCCATGAGCCGTTGAAACGTCGCCGGAGCCGCATTCAAGCCCATAGGCAACCGATTAAATTCAAAGAGACCTTGCGGCGTGCGGAATGCCGTTTTGGCTTTTGACTCGTCATCGAGGGGAAGCTGCCAAAAGCCCGAGGACAGGTCGAGGGTGGAAAAGAATTTAGCACCCGATAAAGCATCCAATCAGTCATCCATCCTCAGTAAGGGGTACGCGTCCGCCACCGAAATCTTGTTCAACCGGCGGAAATCAACGCAAAATCTTGTACCACCATCTTTTTTCTTAACCAGAACAACGGGCGCGCCCCAAGGGCTGTTGGACGGCGAAATAATCTCCGCCGCCAGCAATTAATCTACTGCCCTGCGCACGTGCTCCCTTTCTGCTGGGCTCATGCGATGAGGGTGCATACAGATGGGCGGTGCCGCACCGGTGTCAATATGGTGCGACAAAAGCGATGTGCGGCCGAGGTCCAAATCATTTTTGCTGAAAACATCAGCGTGCCGTAGTAATAGTGAACGCAGAGCGTTCCTTTGTTCATTCGACAAGGAAGAATTTTCCCCGCATAAATCTGCGATCCAGCGTTCTTGCGAACGATCGTGTGGGGGCCCACCAGCGGGCATCCGGGCGTGCGGCGTTTCGTTACAAGAGGCGAAATCAGTAGTGGCGTGAGCCAGCACCGATCCCTCCGGAACAACAATGCGGTCAGGTCCCCCATTCAACACCTGTATGAAAGGTGCCTGACCTGGTCGCACGATCATTTGTGCCGCCGCCAAAGAAAAGGATTTAGATACCGAATTCGATGGGGATAATAGCACACCCTTCGCATCCCTTCCAATCTGAAGGGGTTTTCTGTAACACAGCGGAATGAGCATTTGAGCTCCCGACGGAACCTCCACCATAGCAGCGACTACGGCCGTAACTGCGTTACCTGTAGGCGCACTGGCCAGCAGGGAAGGCAGGAACGCCATCCTACGACCCCCCGGCATTTCCAAACAATCCTGGTCGACCCGTATATTCAGCGGCAGCAGGAAATCAGTACCAAGCAAGCATGGGACAGCCAGCGAGCGAGAGATCAACACAGGTCCTGCAGCGGTAATATTTCCGATAGCGATGCTCACATCTACCTGACCACAGATACCCATGCTTCCCTCATTCGCGGCAACACACGCATCATTAACCTTGCATATCCGCGACGCAGGAATGGACAACAAATGAAAAATAACATCTGAAATGATGGTAGCAGATGCGCCAGTGTCCACCAAGATACGGATGTCAACGCCGTCGATGGTACCCCGTACCGTCGACTGAGCCCGACGCCGCAGCCACAACCCTGCGAGCCAATTTCTTCCACTGTGTAGCAGAGCGTGTAAGTGGTGCAGGAGAAGTGAAATTATCCTTAGGAGTGTAAGAATGAGTGTGAGTGGATGAGTGATGTGACACGACCTGCCGGGTGTCCGATTTGTGCCGACTCGCCCGAGGTTGTTGCAGTTCCGCAGCAGGTGGAGGAGATGGAGGTCCCCTTGGCGGAAGAGGCGACAGCAGAGGTTGGCAGCGGCAGTCACGGGCGAAATGGCCTCGTCTGCCACACTTGAAACACGCGGCCGTCGTCGGCCGGCGGTCGGAAGACCCGGCCCCCGCACGTGGACGGCCTGCGTAGTCGCCTCGCTGGTCGCGCAGCCGCCGTCCCGGAACCCTATGCGGAGCAGTGGACAACCAGTCGTGGAGACCACCCCAAGGGCGGCCCGTCGATTTCAGGTTTCTCTGTCCACGCCGCCATCTGGTCCCAACACTTGATATTAAACTTAGCGTCCAGGCAGCGCGCCACCCATCGCGATGTGAGCGGTTCGTGGCCACAGACTGGTAGAGAAATGTTGAGCTCCTGAGACAACTCCAGCATACGGGAAAGGATGAGAGGATCCAAATGATCGGCCGTCGCGTCGGGGTAGGCAGCCATGGCCAGCGCCATCAACGCCCCCCGATAAGCCAAAGGTGACTCCTCCGATCCTCGGCGACGCGACATAAATTTTCTGGTGGCTGACGTCGGTGGGTCGTAAAATTCCGCCATGTCTGCGAACGCATCTCGCAGTGTCTTCTTCTTGGACGCTGGGATGGAGCGGAAGACCCCCAGAGAAACGTCATCAAGCAGTGTAGGTAGCGCTCCCAGCGCCTCATCCTCCGTCCAGTTGACGGATCTAAAAGCCGACTCGAAGCGCCACGTAAAAGCACTCCAATCGCCCCCGGCGAGAAATTCTTTGATCTGTGGAAGGCGATGTCCGCGGTGGCAAGCGTGCGCCGCGGGCGTCTCCGACTGCTGTTCCCGCGTCCCACCCGTTGCAGGCAAAATGGCGGCCGACGGCTCCCGCGCAGCCGGCCCGCCCACAACGACGGCTTCTTCCCGCGTGGCAGGAGCAATGGCGGACCCAGTTTCTTTTTCAGGACCCCTTCCCGCGGCGTCCAGCTGATCCGCAATCTGGCGACCCGCGGCTGGAGAGGACGCTACAGCGGTCACCAGACTCAGCAGAATAGCGTGTAACGATTCGATCTGCTCCGCCATCAGCCGCCATCCGTCTTTTGTTCCTGCGGTGGTCGCATCTTCTCCCAGTCGACGCGGAGAGGCGTCGAGGAGAGAAGTATCAGCAGGCGGCATAGGGGCTGTAGCCCCCAACAGCTCATCTTCATCCGTCTCGACCTCTTCCTCCGATGGAGGCACGGGCAGGTTCTTTTTTCTGAGGTGTTTGGACATCTTGACGATCGTCCCAACGGTCGCAGAAGGACTTCTGACACCAATGTAATAAACCTCCTTGAGACGGCTTCCGGAATCAGTCCTTTTTATTTTCAACTTCCACAGTTACACTTCACACACACACTCCCCGTTGCTGGCAGACAACGGAGAGAGGGCAGACTTCTTGCCAAGTCCCCACCGCGCACGTGGCACCCAGAGCCCCGTACGCGCGTGACTCTTGCTCTTGTCGTCCCCAAGTCTGCTCACGACTGTCCTCTCTCTCTTAATCCCTTCGTCACGTGGTACCCCCCAGCCAATCCTCCATAGACAGTGTTGACCGCTCCCGATGGTTCCCCGTCAATCCCGGGAGCACGCCTCTGATCCGGCTCCCCATTAGCTGAGGCCCCGATTGGCCAGGCCAATCACCCCTGCTGACGTGCCGCGATCACGCCGAGGCCATGCTCCCTGGCTCATCCCTTATTGGCTACAAAGCAGGACCGGCAAGCCAATCCTCACGTGAACCCTCTATGGCTGTTATTACATATGTATGTGCGTGTGTGTGTCTGCCTGGAGAGCGGCGGTGTAGCGGTTAGCGCTACGCTGCGCTATGAATCCGGCGACCCGGGTTCGATTCCTGCTCACGGCCAACACCAGTGACGATTATCTGAACCGGTCCCGGGCCTCCCCTAGGTCGACTCAGCCTCAAATGAGTACCTGGTGCGGTGTGTAAACATCACCACTGGGGAGACAAAGGCGGTCGGGCGTGGTGCCACCCCCTCTTGCGCAACTAACAACACTCGCCCCTACGACCCGTCACGGCTACGCGGGGGAGCTTTGTCTGCGTCTGCCCCCGTGTCCGCAGGCGGTGGAGGATGCCGTCTGTGTCCTGCAGCAGCTGAGCGTCCACATGCTGCACCACGTGCCGCACTGCGGAGACTCAAGGCTGGGGGGGGGCAGCTGGGGGGGAGCTGCCAGCCACAGCTCCACCCTGAAGACAGGTGGACACTGTGACCCCCTCACTCCCCCCCTCATTCCCCCCCCTCCCCCCTCACTCCCCCCTCACCCGCTCCCTCTCACTCCCCCACTCCCCCCCTCCTCCCTCACTCCCCCCCCCTCCCCCTCACTCCCTCCCCCTCACTCCCTCCCCCCCTCACTACCCCTCCCTCCCCCCCTTCCCTGTGTGTATAGTGTAGTGTATAGTGTAGTGTATGGTGTAGTGTCTAGTGTAGTGTGTGATAGTGTAGTGTATAGTGTAGTGTAGTGTGTGATAGTGTAGTGTATAATGTAGTATATAGTGTAGTGTGTGATAGTGTAGTGCGTTATAGTGCAGTGTGTGATAGTGTAGTGTACGATGTGCGTGTGTATGTGTAGACACCGTGTGTGCGTGTAGACACCCGTGTGTGTGTGTAGACACACCGTGTGTGTGTGTAGACACGCCGTGTGTGTGTGTAGACACGCCGTGTGTGTGTGTAGACACACCGTGTGTGTGTGTAGACACACCGTGTGTGTGCGTGTAGATACCCGTGTGTGTGTGTAGACACCCGTGTGTGTGTGTAGACACCCGTGTGTGTGTGTAGACACACCGTGTGTGTGTGTAGACACACCGTGTGTGTGCGTGTAGACACCCGTGTGTGCGTGTAGACACCCGTGTGTGCGTGTAGACACCCGTGTGTGTGTGTAGACACACCGTGTGTGTGTGTAGACACACCGTGTGTGTGCGTGTAGACACCCGTGTGTGCGTGTAGACACCCGTGTGTGTGTGTAGACACCCGTGTGTGTGTGTAGACACACCGTGTGTGTGTGTAGACACCCGTGTGTGTGTGTAGACACACCGTGTGTGTGTGTAGACACGTGTGTGTAGACACACCGTGTGTGTGTAGACACACCGTGTGTGTGTGTAGACACACCGTGTGTGTGTAGACACACCGTGTGTGTAGACACACCGTGTGTGCGTGTAGACACACCGTGTGTGCGTGTAGACACACCGTGTGTGCGTGTAGACACACCGTGTGTGCGTGTAGACACACCGTGTGTGCGTGTAGACACACCGTGTGTGCGTGTAGACACCCGTGTGTGCGTGTAGACACACCGTGTGTGTGTGTAGGCACACCGTGTGTGTGTGTAGACGCACCGTGTGTGTGTGTAGACACACCGTGTGTGTGTAGACACACCGTGTGTGTGTGTAGACACACCGTGTGTGTGTGTAGGCACACCGTGTGTGTGTGTAGACGCACCGTGTGTGTGTGTAGACGCACCGTGTGTGTGTGTAGACGCACCGTGTGTGTGTGTAGACACCCGTGTGTGTGTAGACACCCGTGTGTGTGTGTAGACACACCGTGTGTGTGTGTAGACACACCGTGTGTGTGTGTGTAGACACCCGTGTGTGTGTGTGTAGACACCGTGTGTGTGTAGACACACCGTGTGTGTGTGTGTGTGTAGACACACCGTGTGTGTGTGTGTAGACACACCGTGTGTGTGTGTGTAGACACACCGTGTGTGTGTGTAGACACCCGTGTGTGTGTGTAGACACCCGTGTGTGTGTGTAGACACACCGTGTGTGTGTGTAGACACACCGTGTGTGTGTGTGTAGACACCCGTGTGTGTGTGTAGACACACCGTGTGTGTGTGTAGACACACCGTGTGTGTGTGTGTAGACACCCGTGTGTGTGTGTGTAGACACCGTGTGTGTGTGTAGACACACCGTGTGTGTGTAGACACACCGTGTGTGTGTGTGTGTAGACACACCGTGTTCCTGTCCGCCTTGCTCCGCGCCGTAACGAGGCCTACGCCTGCAGGCTGGGAGCTGCTGTACCAGGCCGACACAGTCAGCTGCTACGTGTCGCTGCTGCAGCAGTCGCACAACGTGCTCGTGCTGCAAGCAGCAACACGCTCCATCTACACGCTGGCCAGCGGAGACACCCAGGTGACGCTCCCTAGCAACGCTCCCTAGCAACGCTCCCCAGCACCGCTCCCTAGCAACGCTCCCTAGCAACGCTCGCTAGCAACGCTCCCTAGCAACGCTCTATAGCAACGCTTCCTAGCAACGCTCCCTAGCAACGCTCCCTAGCAACGCCCACTGTTTGACTGTCTGCGTGGTGATGGTGTTGCGTTGCCGTGCGCCGTCGTGAGCAGTGGTCGGCGTTGTCCCGCACGGCCGTGGCTCACAACGGGGGGCTGCCCTGCCTCCTGGAGCAGCTGCGGAGCGGGAGGAGCAGGAGGAGCGGCGACGACGAGCGCCGTCTGCTGGCGTACACCTCGGTGCACGCGCTGCGGGTCCTCGCTCGCAATGACCCCAACAACCAGCGCCTCATCGGTGAGATGCGGGGGGGTGGGAGGGAGGGAGGTGGTGATGGTGGTGGTGATGGTGGTGGTGATAGTGGTGGTGATGGTGGTGGTGGTGATAGTGGTGGTGGTGATGGTGGTGATGGTGGTGATGGTGGTGGTGGTGATGGTGGTGGTGATGGTGGTGGTGGTAATGGTGGTGATGGTGGTGATGGTGATAGTGGTGATGGTGGTGGTGATAGTGGTGATGGTGGTGGTGATAGTGGTGATAGTGGTGATAGTGGTGATAGTGGTGATAAAGTGATGAAGGTGGCGATGGAGGTGGCGATGGAGGTGGCGATGAAGTGGCGATGAAGTGGCGATGGAGTGGCGATGGAGGTGGCGATGGAGGTGGCGATGGAGGTGGCGATGGAGTGGCGATGGAGGTGGCGATGAAGTCGTGATGGAGGTGGCGATGGAGGTGGCGATGGAGGTGGCGATGAAGTGGCGATGAAGTGGCGATGGAGTGGCGATGGAGGTGGCGATGGAGGTGGCGATGGAGGTGGCGATGAAGTGGCGATGGAGGTGGCGATGAAGTCGTGATGGAGGTGGCGATGGAGGTGGCGATGGAGGTGGCGATGAAGTGGCGATGAAGTGGTGATGGAGTGGCGATGGAGGTGGTGATGGAGGTGGCGATGAAGTGGCAATGAAGTGGCGATGGAGGTGGCGATGAAGTCGTGATGGAGGTGGCGATGGAGGTGGCGATGAAGTGGCGATGGAGGTGGCGATGAAGTGGCGATGAAGTGGCGATGAAGTGGCGATGAAGGTGGCGATGGAGGTGGCGATGGAGGTGGCGATGAAGTGGCGATGAAGTGGCGATGGAGGTGGCGATGAAGTGGCGATGGAGGTGGCGATGGAGGTGGCGATGGAGGTGGCGATGAAGTGGCGATGGAGGTGGCGATGAAGTGGCGATGGAGGTGGCGATGGAGGTGGCGATGGAGGTGGCGATGGAGGTGGCGATGGAGGTGGCGATGGAGGTGGCGATGAAGTGGCGATGGAGGTGGCGATGAAGTCGCGATGAAGTGGCGATGGAGGTGGCGATGGAGGTGGCGATGGAGGTGGCGATGAAGTGGCGATGGAGGTGGCGATGAAGTGGTGATGGAGGTGGCGATGGAGGTGGCGATGAAGTGGCGATGGAGGTGGCGATGAAGTGGCGATGGAGGTGGCGATGGAGGTGGCGATGGAGGTGGCGATGGAGGTGGCGATGAAGGTGGCGATGGAGGTGGCGATGAAGTGGCGATGGAGGTGGCGATGGAGGTGGCGATAGAGGTGGCGATGGAGGTGGCGATGAAGTGGCGATGGAGGTGGCGATGGAGGTGGCGATGGAGGTGGCGATGGAGGTGGCGATGAAGTGGCGATGGAGGTGGTGATGAAGTGGCGATGAAGTGGCGATGGAGGTGGCGATGAAGTGGCGATGGAGGTGGCGATGGAGGTGGCGATGGAGGTGGCGATGGAGGTGGCGATGAAGTGGCGATGGAGGTGGCGATGGAAGTGGCGATGGAGGTGGCGATGAAGTGGCGATGGAGGTGGCGATGGAGGTGGCGATGGAGGTGGCGATGAAGTGGCGATGAAGTGGCGATGGAGGTGGCGATGGAGGTGGCGATGAAGTGGCGATGAAGTGGCGATGAAGTGGCGATGGAGGTGGCGATGGAGTGGCGATGGAGGTGGCGATGGAGGTGGCGATGAAGTGGCGATGAAGTGGCGATGAAGTGGCGATGGAGGTGGCGATGGAGGTGGCGATGGAGGTGGCGATGAAGTGGCGATGGAGGTGGCGATGGAGGTGGCGATGAAGTGGCGATGGAGGTGGCGATGGAGGTGGCGATGGAGGTGGCGATGAAGTGGCGATGGAGGTGGCGATGGAGGTGGCGATGGAGGTGGCGATGAAGTGGCGATGAAGTGGCGATGGAGGTGGCGATGGAGGTGGCGATGAAGTGGCGATAGAGGTGGCGATGGAGGTGGCGATGAAGTGGCGATGAAGTGGCGATGAAGTGGCGATGGAGGTGGCGATGAAGTGGCGATGAAGTGGCGATGGAGTGGCGATGGAGGTGGCGATGGAGGTGGCGATGGAGGTGGCGATGAAGTGGCGATGGAGGTGGCGATGAAGTCGTGATGGAGGTGGCGATGGAGGTGGCGATGGAGGTGGCGATGAAGTGGCGATGAAGTGGTGATGGAGTGGCGATGGAGGTGGTGATGGAGGTGGCGATGAAGTGGCAATGAAGTGGCGATGGAGGTGGCGATGAAGTCGTGATGGAGGTGGCGATGGAGGTGGCGATGAAGTGGCGATGGAGGTGGCGATGAAGTGGCGATGAAGTGGCGATGAAGTGGCGATGAAGGTGGCGATGGAGGTGGCGATGGAGGTGGCGATGAAGTGGCGATGAAGTGGCGATGAAGTGGCGATGGAGGTGGCGATGAAGTGGCGATGGAGGTGGCGATGGAGGTGGCGATGGAGGTGGCGATGAAGTGGCGATGGAGGTGGCGATGAAGTGGCGATGGAGGTGGCGATGGAGGTGGCGATGGAGGTGGCGATGGAGGTGGCGATGGAGGTGGCGATGGAGGTGGCGATGAAGTGGCGATGGAGGTGGCGATGAAGTCGCGATGAAGTGGCGATGGAGGTGGCGATGGAGGTGGCGATGGAGGTGGCGATGAAGTCGCGATGAAGTGGCGATGGAGGTGGCGATGAAGTGGTGATGGAGGTGGCGATGGAGGTGGCGATGAAGTGGCGATGGAGGTGGCGATGAAGTGGCGATGGAGGTGGCGATGGAGGTGGCGATGGAGGTGGCGATGGAGGTGGCGATGGAGGTGGCGATGAAGTGGCGATGGAGGTGGCGATGGAGGTGGCGATGGAGGTGGCGATGGAGGTGGCGATGAAGTGGCGATGGAGGTGGCGATGGAGGTGGCGATGGAGGTGGCGATGGAGGTGGCGATGAAGTGGCGATGGAGGTGGTGATGAAGTGGCGATGAAGTGGCGATGGAGGTGGCGATGAAGTGGCGATGGAGGTGGCGATGGAGGTGGCGATGGAGGTGGCGATGGAGGTGGCGATGAAGTGGCGATGGAGGTGGCGATGGAAGTGGCGATGGAGGTGGCGATGAAGTGGCGATGGAGGTGGCGATGGAGGTGGCGATGGAGGTGGCGATGAAGTGGCGATGAAGTGGCGATGGAGGTGGCGATGGAGGTGGCGATGAAGTGGCGATGAAGTGGCGATGAAGTGGATGATGGCTGAGGTGGCGATGGAGTGGCGATGGGAGGTGGCGATGGAGTGTGGCGATGAAGTGGCGATGAAGTGGCGATGAAGTGGCGATGGAGGTGGCGATGGAGGTGGCGATGAAGTGGCGATGGAGGTGGCGATGGAGGTGGCGATGAAGTGGCGATGGAGGTGGCGATGGAGGTGGCGATGGAGGTGGCGATGAAGTGGCGATGGAGGTGGCGATGGAGGTGGCGATGAAGTGGCGATGAAGTGGCGATGGAGGTGGCGAGGAGGTGGCGATGAAGTGGCGATGGAGGTGGCGTGGAGGTGGCGATTGAAGTGGCGATGAAGTGGCGATGAAGTGGCGATGGAGGTGGCGATGAAGTGGCGATGGAGGTGGCGATGGAGGTGGCGATGAAGTGGCGATGAAGTGGCGATGGAGGTGGCGATGAAGTGGCGATGGAGGTGGCGATGAAGTGGCGATGAAGTGGCGATGAAGTGGCGATGGAGGTGGCGATGGAGGTGGCGATGAAGTGGCGATGAAGTGGCGATTGAGGTGGCGATGAAGTGGCGATGGAGGTGGCGATGAAGTGGCGATGGAGGTGGCGATGAAGTGGCGATGGAGGTGGCGATGGAGGTGGCGATGAAGTGGCGATGGAGGTGGCGATGAAGTGGCGATGAGTGGCGATGAGTGGCGATGGAGGTGGCGATGGAGGTGGCGATGAAGTGGCGATGAAGTGGCGATGGAGGTGGCGATTGAGGTGGCGATGGAGGTGGCGATGAAGTGGCGATGGAGGTGGCGATGAAGTGGCGATGGAGGTGGTGATGGAGGTGGCGATGAAGTGGCGATGGAGGTGGCGATGAAGTGGCGATGGAGGTGGTGATGGAGGTGGCGATGGAGGTGGCGATGAAGTGGCGATGGAGGTGGCGATGAAGGTGGCGATGGAGGTGGCGATGGAGGTGGCGATGGAGGGCGATGGAGGTGGCGATGGAGGTGGCGATGAAGGTGGCGAGGGGAGATGGAGGTGGCGATGGAGGTGGCGATGGAGGTGGCGATGAAGTGGTGATGGAGGTGGCGATGGAGGTGGCGATGGAGGTGGCGATGAAGTGGTGATGGAGGTGGCGATGGAGGTGGCGATGGAGGTGGCGATGAAGTGGCGATGAAGTGGCGATGGAGGTAGCGATGAAGTGGCGATGGAGGTGGCGATGAAGTGGCGATGGAGGTGGCGATGGAGGTGGCGATGAAGTGGCGATGGAGGTGGCGATGGAGGTGGCGATGAAGTGGCGATGAAGTGGCGATGGAGGTGGCGATGGAGGTGGCGATGAAGTGGCGATTGAGGTGGCGATGGAGGTGGCGATGGAGGTGGCGATGAAGTGGCGATGGAGGTGGCGATGGAGGTGGCGATGGAGGTGGCGATGAAGTGGCGATGGAGGTGGCGATGGAGGTGGCGATGAAGTGGCGATGAAGTGGCGATGGAGGTGGCGATGAAGTGGCGATGGAGGTGGCGATGGAGGTGGCGATGGAGGTGGCGATGAAGTGGCGATGGAGGTGGCGATGGAGGTGGCGATGGAGGTGGCGATGAGGTGGCGATGGAGGTGGCGATGAAGTGGCGATGGAGGTGGCGATGGAGGTGGCGATGGAGGTGGCGATGGAGGTGGCGATGAAGTGGCGATGGAGGTGGCGATGGAGGTGGCGATGGAGGTGGCGATGGAGGTGGCGATGAAGTGGCGATGGAGGTGGCGATGGAGGTGGCAATGAGGTGGCGATGAAGTGGCGATGGAGGTGGCGATGGAGGTGGCGATGAAGTGGCGATGAAGTGGCGATGGAGGTGGCGATGAAGTGGCGATGAAGTGGCGATGGAGGTGGCTATGGAGGTGGCGATGAAGTGGCGATGGAGGTGGCGATGAAGTGGCGCTGGATGAGTGGCGATGGAGGTGGCTATAAGTGGCGATGGAGGTGGCGATGGATGGTGGCGATGGAGGTGGCGATGGAGGTGGCGATGAAGTGGCGATGGAGGTGGCGATGGAGGTGGCGATGGAGGTGGCGATGAAGTGGCGATGGAGGTGGCGATGGAGGTGGCGATGAAGTGGCGATGGAGGTGGCGATGAAGTGGCGATGGAGGTGGCGATGGAGGTGGCGATGGAGGTGGCGATGGAGTGGCGATGAAGTGGCGATGGAGGTGGCGATGGAGGTGGCGATGGAGGTGGCGATGGAGGTGGCGATGAAGTGGCGATGAAGTGGCGATGGAGGTGGCGATGGAGGTGGCGATGAAGTGGCGATGGAGGTGGCGATGGAGGTGGCGATGAAGTGGCGATGGAGGTGGCGATGCAGGTGGGCGATGGAGGTGGCGATGAAGTGGCGATGGAGGTGGCGATGGAGGTGGCGATGAAGTGGCGATGAAGTGGCGATGGACGGTGGCGATGAAGTGGCGATGAAGTGGCGATGGAGGTGGCTATGGAGGTGGCGATGAAGTGGCGATGGAGGTGGCGTGAAGGGCGATGGAAGGTGGCGATGAAGTGGCGATGGAGGTGGCGATGGATGGGCGATGGAGGTGGCGATGAGTGGCGATGATAGTGGCGATGGAGGTGGCGATGGAGGTGGCGATGGAGGTGGCGATGAAGTGGCGATGGAGGTGGCGATGGAGGTGGCGATGAAGTGGCGATGGAGGTGGCGATGAAGTGGCGATGGAGGTGGCGATGGAGGTGGCGATGGAGGTGGCGATGGAGGGTGGCGATGAAGTGGCGATGGAGGTGGCGATGGAGGTGGCGATGGAGGTGGCGATGGAGGTGGCGATGAAGTGGCGATGAAGTGGCGATGGAGGTGGCGATGGAGGTGGCGATGAAGTGGCGATGGAGGTGGCGATGGAGGTGGCGATGAAGTGGCGATGGAGGTGGCGATGCAGGTGGCGATGGAGGTGGCGATGCAGGTGGCGATGGAGGTGGCGATGAAGTGGCGATGGAGGTGGCGATGGAGGTGGCGATGGAGGTGGCGATGCAGGTGGCGATGGAGGTGGCGATGAAGTGGCGATGGAGGTGGCGATGGAGGTGGCGATGGAGGTGGCGATGAAGTGGCGATGGAGGTGGCGATGGAGGTGGCGATGAAGTGGCGATGAAGTGGCGATGGAGGTGGCGATGGAGGTGGCGATGAAGTGGTGATGGAGGTGGCGATGGAGGTGGCGATGGAGGTGGCGATGGAGGTGGCGATGAAGTGGCGATGAAGTGGCGATGGAGGTGGCGATGGAGGTGGCGATGAAGTGGCGATGAAGTGGCGATGAAGGTGGCGATGGAGTGGCGATGGAGGTGGCGATGGAGGTGGCGATGGGAGTGGCGATGGAGTCCGCTCACCACCGTCTCTGCGCGCTCCCCAGGGCTGCACAATGGCGTGAGGATCCTCACCGCGATGCTGCCTGACGCTGCCGAGGCAGGCGGCGGTGGCGGCGGTGGCGATGGTGGCGATGGTGGCGAGGCCTCGTGGCTGGGCGAGGAGGGGCTGTCGGCAGTGCTCTGGGCGCTGACGGCGCTGGTCTCTGGCAGCGTCGCCAACGCTCAGCGGCTGCATCGCGGCGGTGGCATCAGGCGCATCGTGGCCATCCGCACCAGCCGGTGAGCGGGGCGGGGGTGGGGGAACGATCCACGCTCAACCACGCACACTCACCACCCACGCTCACCAGCCACACTCACCAGCCACACTCACCACGCACACTCACCACGCTCACCACCCACCCTCACTATCCACACACTCCAAGCTCACCACTCACGCTCACCACCCACACTCACCACCAACCCTCACCACCCACCCTCACTATCCACACTCACCACCCACCCTCACTATCCACACTCACCACACACACTCACCACCACTCACCAGGCACACTCACCACCCACACTCACCACGCTCGCCACTCTCACCACCCACACTCACCACGCACACTCACCACGCACACAAAGATCTTTGTCTTTGTGTCTGTGTGTATCTGTGTGTGTCTAGGTCGACTCAGCCTCCCACCCCCTCGTGTGCCGTTCCGGCCTTCACAGGTGCTCGCTAACAGCACTCGCCCCTAAAGTCTGTTACAGGCTACACGGGGGATCTTTGTCTTTGTGCGTGTGTTGGTGCTGTGTCAGGACGGCGTGCAGCCAGGACCTCTTTGCAGCGAGGGCTTTGCTCACCGTTCTCTGGGCTCACCACGACCTCCGCGCCAGCTACAAGAAGTGTGGCGGCTGGGACAAGGAGCACTTCTTGTCACCGAGATGCCACGAGCAGCAGCAGCGGCGCCGGCAGCAGCAGCAGCACGTGCACTCGCTGTGGCACCAGTGGCAGCTGTGCCAGCAGTGGCAGCTGTGGCAGCAGTGGCGCCAGTCGCAGCTGTAGTAGCAGAAGCAGCAGTAGCAGAAGCAGTAGTAGTAGTAGGGGTAGTGGCGGTAGTAGCAGTCCGCTCGGCGGACGCTGGCGTTCTCCTCTTGAATCTTGACTTGAAGCTTTCGTGCCTTGCAGGGATTTATGGGTCTGTCGGTCAGGTGGCGTGGGTAGGTTCAAGAAAATAACAAAAAACTACGACGTTTCGATGGCAACACAAGCGGTCGTCATCAGTGTTGCGATGGAAACGTCGCGTGTTTTTGTTATTTGCTTTGAACCTACACACGTGATGTTACCGACAGACCCCAAAGAATATGCTCTTCTTAACTTCGCTTGTTGATGTTGATGAAGATGTCGATGGTGCTGTTGTTGATATTGTCGTTGATGTTTATGATGTTGTTATTGATTTTGATGATGTTGAGGATGTTGATTTTGTTGTTAAAGATGTTGATGTCGTTCGACCGGTGGCTATGGGAACAATTACCCTAGGGGAGGCTAATTGACCCGACCCAGCCAAGGTGCGGGTCTGGACTCTGGCTTCCTCGGAACTCGCCCTTACAAGGACAAGCGGGACAAGGGGGTCCAGGGTCCTAAGCTGGCTGGCTGGCGGGTCTTGACCTGCGACTGGCCCTGATCGGCCAGGGAGCTGCCCTTTTATGCCTCGTGCCCAACGAGGGGTGGGGTTGTGTGCGCCCCCAGGTATCCCACAGAGCACACAGCCCCCCCGTTGGTGGCACCAAGGGGCTTAAGCGTCTGGGGTGCCTGGGATCCTAGCGCCTGGCACCAAGGGGCTTCTCTGCCTAGGGTCCCTGAGCCCCCAGCAGCCCCTCCCCTCTTGGGCTGGCACAGTAGCGCCTCTCATGGCACTGCACCTGTAGTATAAATGGGCTGTTCTATGGCGACAGTGGGTGTACTATACACAAGGGCTCACTAGAGGGCACATTCCAGATGTGACGGAGCACGTGGCCCAGAAGGGGATGGCCACGTGATGTGGACCCAGAGTGTGACTGACGGGGGGGAGGGGGGGGGGGTGCGGAGTCCCCCCGTGGTTCTTCAACCGCGGGAAAGAAGTCGTCCACTTCCATCTTCGCTTTTCAGCCTCCGTACGCGTCGCCTGTTCCCGTCCAACCGTAGCGAAGGGGTTCCGCTCAAGCGGCGAGGTGGTTAGGGACGGTGGCCACCACCTTACGTGGTTAGCCCGCGATGAGCGCAGTCGCTCGCAATGTACTTGGTTCACCTGGGAACGTTGAATAGTGTTGGCTGTGTGAGAGATTAAAACTTGCTGCCTCCCAGTCTTGGTGTGCGGCTGATGAGAACCCACTGCATGTGCATTGACGTGTGGTAATGGGATGTTGCGGGCGTATGTTTTTTTTGTACAAGGGAGATCGTTTAAACGCAGTTTTTTTGTGTACATCTGGTGCATAATGGTTGAATGATAGCTTTCAAACACTGCGCAAAATTCATGCAGAACTGCTGTGATCCGCTGTGACACGGGGGAACACCAATATAGCTGCTGATCTTATTATCTGTGGGGCCATCTGCGAATCTTTACCTTCCAGCTAAAAGGAGCTAAATGACAGATAACCTCGCCAACAAGAGGATGAGAATACCACGTGACTCTTCTTATCCGCGAGATATCTAAACATGATTTCCCAATTTTATTTTATACTTTTCAGAAAAACAATATATACAACACCGCGTCACCTGATGTTCAGATTTGGCCACAGCTGTTCACAAACCGCATAGCCAAAATCTTAAATGCCGTTTGTTTTGTCAATATAAATGGGAGCCGGCTGTTATGGTATAATAACGACGTGCGCCCGCTAAACTCAGGCCCTCCGATCCACCGATGGAGTGAGGAAATTTAACGAAAAAATGAAAACAGAAACTCACGCAAATTAAGAAGTTAGCCAAAGAAACATAAAAATGTGGGTTTCTTTAAATCAAAATCTCCCCCGATTCGTGCATTTATACGTTGGCTCAATGCGAAAGCCACGATGCCACAAAAAACGCGTTTTAAGGAGATTGGACTCTCAATCAGAGGTCGCAACCGGGTACCCGATACCCTTACCCTACCCGATACCCGGCTACCCGTACCCGGCCGGGCACGGGTAGCCGTTTGCGACCCTGGTGCGGCCGGGTACGGGTAGACCGTGAGTCACTGGTGAGTCACCGTTTGTCACTCATTTCCCAACGACTTGTCTCTTCTCACAATTCAAGTTCCTAGAATCAACCCACCCGCGCCTGCAACGTGGCTTCATCCCAGAGGTCGCAATCGGGTACCCGTACCCTACCCGATACCCGGCCGGGTACGGGTATCGGGTAAGGAATCAAACCCCGTTTGCGACCTCTGCTCTCAGTACTCTGGGGGTTACAAACCCAGCAGAGCCGAATCCCCCGAGCTACGAGGCTGGGTGCCGACGTGCCCCCCACACCGTCGCGTGCGCCGCGTGAGCGGGGTGCCCGCGCTCCGCCGCTCGAATCTTCACAAAGAGCACAGACGGTCGCCGCGACGGTGACACTCGCTCGCGCTAAACCCAAGCCGTGCGGCCGGTGCCGCCGCCGGCGCTCTGCCCGGGGGGCTCCTGGCGGGACCTCGGCATCGCCCTCAGCTCCGTCTAAAGTCCCCGCAACTCGTCACGGAGCTGACGCAATTCCCGCGGCGACATCGTCGCTGCTGCTGCTGCTGCTGCGGGAACTGCCGTGGGGTCCGGCTCGCCGGGATCTGCCACCCTAGACACGAGTCGAATTTCAAGAGGAGTGTTTTCATTAACAACAATAAATATACACGCTCCATGGTAGAGGATGTGTATGGGTTATATTGCGTGTATAATGTATAGTGCAGTGTATAGTGTAGTGTGTAGTGTATAGTGTAGTGTATAGTGTGTAGTATGTAGTGTATAGTGTGTAGTGTATAGTGTGTAGTGTATAGTGTATAGTGTGTAGTGTAGAGTGTAGTTTATAGTGTAGTGTATAGTGTAGTGTATAGTGTAGTGTATAGTGTAGTGTATAGTGTGTAGTGTATAGTGTGTAGTGTAGTGTATAGCGTGTAGTGTATAGCGTGTAGTGTATAGCGTGTAGTGTATAGCGTGTAGTGTATAGTGTGTAGTGTATAGTGTGTAGTGTATAGTGTGTAGTGTATAGTGTGTAGTGTATAGTGTGTAGTGTATAGTGTGTAGTGTAGGTGTGTAGTGTATAGTGTGTTGTGTATAGTGTGTAGTGTATAGTGTAGTGTATAGTGTGTAGTGTATAGTGTGTAGTGTATAGTGTGTAGTGTATAGTGTGTAGTGTATAGTGTGGTGTATAGTGTAGTGTATAGTGTATAGTGTGTAGTGTATAGTGTAGTGTATAGTGTGTAGTGTATAGTGTTGTGTATAGTGTGTAGTGTATAGTGTGTAGTGTAGTGTATAGTGTGTAGTGTATAGTGTATAGTGTGTAGTGTATAGTGTGTAGTGTATAGTGTGTAGTGTATAGTGTGTAGTGTATAGTGTGTAGTGTATAGTGTGTAGTGTATAGTGTGTAGTGTATAGTGTGGTAGTGTATAGTGTGTAGTGTATAGTGTGTAGTGTATAGTGTGTAGTGTATAGTGTAGTGTATAGTGTTGTGTATAGTGTGTAGTGTATAGTGTGTAGTGTATAGTGTGTAGTGTATAGTGTGTAGTGTATAGTGTCGTGTTAGTGTGTAGTGTATATTGTTGTGTATAGTGTGTAGTGTATAGTGTGTAGTGTATAGTGTGTAGTGTTATAGGTGTAGTGTAGTAGTGTACGGTCTAGTGTAGTGTATAGTGTGTAGTGTATAGTGGATAGTGTGTAGTGTATAGTGTGTAGTGTATAGTGTGTAGTGTAGTGTATAGTGTATAGTGTAGTGTATAGTGTATAGTGTAGTGTATAGTGTGTAGTGTATAGTGTAGTGTATAGTGTGTAGTGTATAGTGTGTAGTGTAGTGTATAGTGTGTAGTGTATAGTGTGTAGTGTATAGTGTGTAGTGTAGTGTATAGTGTGTAGTGTATAGTGTGTAGTGTATAGTGTGTAGTGTAGTGTATAGTGTGTAGTGTATAGTGTGTAGTGTATAGTGTGTAGTGTATAGTGTGTAGTGTATAGTGTGTAGTGTATAGTGTGTAGTGTATAGTGTAGTGTATAGTTTAGTGTGTAGTGTATAGTGTGTAGTGTATAATGTGTAGTGTATAGTGTGTAGTGTATAATGTGTAGTGTATAGTGTGTAGTGTATAGTGTGTAGTGTATAGTGTGTAGTGTATAGTGTAGTGTATAGTTTAGTGTGTAGTGTATAGTGTGTAGTGTATAATGTGTAGTGTATAGTGTGTAGTGTATAGTGGATAATGCGATCTAAACCCAAAAACCTTGATTATGAATAATAATAATAGTCAACGCCGTAATGTATGAGGAGCGGTGTGAGAGTTCCTCGCGAAACTCACCCGGTGCCGTTCCCGTCAGAGGAGGCCCCCAGCACCGAGTGGTAACCCGGGGGCGCCAGCGACGCTCGGCGACTGCCCCGGGTCACCGCCACCTTCACCCTGGAAGCCTCCAGCGTCGTGTGGGCCGCCTGTTTGCCCTCCGCGGACCTACGTCACACACACACACATCTATATAGATAGCTGTGAACACACACACACACACATCTATATACACAGCTGTGAACACATACACTATACACTACACTATACACTACACTATACACACATCTATATACACAGCTGTGAACACACACACACATCTATATAGATAGCTGTGAACACACACACACACATCTATATACACAGCTGTGAACACATACACACACACATCTATATAGATAGCTGTGAACACACACACACACATCTATATACATTGCTGTGAACACATCACACACACATCTATATATATTGCTGTGAACACATCACACTACACTATACACTACACTATAAACTATACACAACATCTATATAGATAGCTGTGAACACACACACACACATCTATATACATTGCTGTGAACACACACACACACACATCTATATATATTGCTGGGAACACATCACACTACACTATAAACTATACACAACATCTATATACATAGTTGGTAACACATACACTACATGATACACTATAAACTATACACAACATCTATATACATAGCGTTTTGAGAAGCTGACGGAACCACTCTGATAGCTGTAAACAAATACACTACACACTACACTACACTACCACATACCTGGCAACACTATACACTACACTGCTACACACCTGGCAACACTATACAACAACAACCGCCATTCGCCACTAAGTGGCGGTGACATCACCACGATGCTTGTGCCAGGCCATGTGCACCTTGAGATCACGTGAAGTGTCGAACGCCCGCTGGCAGGAGGTCACGGGGCAGACCCAGGTGCCACGGGTCGACTGACTGAGATGACCGAGATGACTGGCTGATGCACCACCTGTGCCCCCTACTGTGCCAACTTGCTGTGCTTTAGCCACCCGGCGCTCCGCTCGTTGTTATGAGCGTCGCTCCTCCGCCCTCCGTTGTTGTTGGAGGGCGACTACCTCAAACTGCCCAGTAGCGTCCTTCACGAGCTTCCTCCAGAGGCCGATCTTGACACCGCTGGTACCAGTCATCGGCAAGTCCACTCAGCTCCACGTCCTCCTGTACCACATCCCTCCATCTCTTCTCTAGCCCGTGTCGCGCCCATTTAGTCCCCTTGATCCGGCCGAACAAAAGCTGTTTCGGCATGCGGTGGCTGGGCATGCGGGCTACATGACCAAGCCAATGCAGCCTTACCTGCCGGAGGAGCTCACTGATGGGACTTTGCCCAAGGATTTGTGAGCTCCTCACACAATCCAGCCTGGTTAAACCCAGGATGGATCCTAGGCAGGCCAGCCTAAATGTTTCTAACTGGCAAAGATGCTCCATTAGGGGGGTCCACGTTTCGCAAGCGTAGAGAAGGGAGGGAATGACCGTGGCCGAGAAGAACTGAAGCTTCGTGCGGAGCGACAGACCAGGTAGCTTCCACACAGCGTTACGAAACCGATGAAAAGATATTGCCGCTCGACTGATTCGGAGTGAGACCTCTGCTGTTTAACTGGAGCCGGTCATAAGCACACTGCCCAGGTATGGGTAACTCTCCACTTTCTCCACAACTGCCCCATCACCGATTGGGAGTTGCGTGGGTGGAGTGTCTGATGGTACAAAATACCCGGCAGGTGCTTAGTTTTGGTGGAGCTGATGGTAAGGACCCACCTCTTAGATGCACACTCCAGTCTCAGTAGCAGCGTCTCCAA